ATAATAATAATAATAATAATAATAATAATAAAGGTTTTTGAGCAGAAAATCAGAATATTAGAATGATTTCTGAAGGATCGTGTGACTGGAGTAATGATGATAAAAATTCAGCTTTGAAATCACAGGAATAAATTGCATTTTAAAATCAAATCAAATAGGAAGCAGTTATTTTAAATTGTGAAAATATTTTTGCTGTACTTTGGATCAAATAAATGCAGGCTTGGTGAGTAGAAGAGACTTTTAAAAAAACAATAAAAATCTTACTATTCAAAAACTTTTGACTGGTAGTGTACTTTAATGTCTGATTTTAATATTGACTGCTTTAAGTTCATCAATTTAAGAATAAAATAACAACATAAAAGTGACATAATAAATGATATCAAAATAATATCAATTGGCCAGATTTCTGCAAACAATTGTTATTTTGAAATGAGATATAATAGAACCTCTGCTGTCATCACAAACATCATCATAATTGTCATTTTAAACATGTGTTAAATCTTTTTCCACATGGAACACAAAAATAGTTATCTAGCAGAATATTCAGACTGGTTTTAGTCTCTCTGGTCTCTTTAGTTTATCATACCAGATGTTATGGAGACTGGGACATGTGTGACACAGGGAGAGGATCTTTGGAGCCAAGTTCTCAGTCAAGCTGTCCATTGTCAATTGCACCTTGTTCAGACCAGACAGAGAATGCAAAGCGTCCACACTCTCCTCAAATGTAGGACGTCTGTTATTACATGGAAAATGAATCATATTTAGTAAAAAATATATTATTGATTTAATACTCTGTTTCATGTGAATACTAAAATATATGCAGTGATTATTTTTACCTTACAGAGATCCCTTTGCACAGGATATATGCTTGTAGGAAGTTTTTCCAGTAACTGCTAGTTTTATCTGAGTTTTCAGACAGGGTGAGCTCTATGCTTGAGAACAGCGACTTTGTACTGGGACAGGAGCCGGTGCACTTCAAAAACAAGCTGAAATATAAACAAAAATCCAGCTGACCTTGCAAATACTACACTATTTGTACACAAAAAGATTCATGAAACAGAGAAATAAAATGTTTGTATTTGGGGCGGTGGAGTGGGGTATGATTGGTTATGAACGAATGAATGAAACGCATTTGTCTGTGTTTCACTCCGTCTCGAATCGCGCTCGTGGAAAGCGCTTGAGAAACAGTGTCTCTTCCACGGCTCGGTATGCTTTCAACTAATTTTTTTAAGTCTCGAGCAAGACTACGACATTCACATTACATGATTTGACTGATTTTTACGTAGAAAGGGCGACAGCGCACTGCATTAAAAGAAATTATCATTCATGTTTTCATAACCGCTGGCCAAATTCAAAAACGAAACTAAAATTAAATCATCTTTGAGAGCAAGGGGGTCCTCTGGTGTTTCAGGGGCCCTACGCAGCTTGCGTATTTTGCATATAGGGAGGATCGGCTCTGGTTGGGGAATACTGTTAACAATTTACTGCCTCTTGACCACTCCTAACTGGTCTTATTTGGTCTAAATAGGCTCATCTCACAATTAAAAAAAAAATCTGTTGAACAACAAATATTATAAAAACGTCCAATATATAAATACCAAACAACTGAACACTCATCAACTAGAGAATATGCAGGTTTTTTTGGCAGTTTATGTTTAAGAAATGCAGTGTTCTTTACCTGTACTTCCCTGATAATCTCCTCCACATCCTGAGATCTGAGCAGAGAATACACTCCACATTGTCCAGTTCATAAGAATCACTTCAGATGAAAAACACATAGCCCGTGTTAGTTTTCTTAGCAGACTTAACTGATCACAGAATGATGTTGTAGGCAAAAGTAACAATTATAACAGTGTCATAAATATTCAGTTTATGATTCTCACTTGATTTCATCGCTGCAGTCACTGAGAGGTGAGGACATGCCATCTGACATCTGTCCTGCAGACTGAGACCTGTGAATATTTTCATAAACCATGCCATTTTTCTTTCTTTTTTTTCTTTTCAGATGATATCACAAATCCCTTTTACTTTTTTGTCCCATCTTCTCTAATAATCTTACTCCTTTCTGGTATGTAATGCCCACTTTCTACAATCAATAAAAACAAGCCCCAGACTTTATTTTGCATTTCACTCTAAAATACCACACATGTCAGATTATGTACTGTAAGAATAATGGGTTATCCAATAAGAGACTTGTGTAAAAACGGTCATCCCACCGAATACCATTCAGTCCTTCTGAATCACTGTCTTCACTCTCAAACCTTCTATGGATACTGAAAAACAACCACAGAGATAGCTACATTTAACCGTTAATAAAAGCATGGTGAAATCTGTGTCAAATCTGTCTAAACTTCATCATCGTAAGATATAAAGCTTAACAGATCTAGTTCATAATATAGTAGTACACATTTGAAGTGGATCAAAATCTTTCATCAAAATTGTCCTAAAACCTAAAACGCTTTCTTGTCTTAGGACAACTTTGATTAACTTTTTTTATCCACTTCAGATGTTGACTACTGTAGATTAAATGGCTGGAAATGTTATATATTCATATTTGAAGTCTCAAGAAACTACAAATCCATTCAACATGTTTGTTAATGACCTGTTATTAATTAAAAGTTTTATTATTGTGGTGTATTTTGCTACGGACTAATAATGTTATTGTTTGATAGCATCACTAGGGGGCGCTGGATGACGAGTAATGGGATGGAGTTAGTTCTTCAGCTCTCTCTCTCTCATTTAAATGTGCTCTTTAGTAAAGCTTTAGTTAGTGGCACATGCCTTCGTGGATGCAGGTCATTTAGAATACAGGAATCACTGATGCCTTACCTGAAGAATTCATTCCTGCCGTCCTTCTTGAAGTTCGCCCTACTTGTCTCAGGCCACTCAAGTGCCAAAAAACTAAGCCACAAAAATAATAAGGTGAGCTTTTGTCATCATGAAATTCAGGGTTCAATGTGCAAATGCCACTATCACAATGTCAACTGTTTGTTCTGAGAGACTGAAACACCCAGGTATGTCTACTGTATGTGTAAACAGGAGTGAAGTGAATTCTCACTTTAATGCAGTCAGGCTGGAGTTCATCTGAATGAGGTCCAGGACTCTGGACGCTCCATCCACAGTCATGAATCTGAAGATAAGATCCAGAGATCCAAGTCTTTTAGCTGGTTATAGGACTGAAAGAATTTCCTCCAGTCAGCATGTGCATTCTCAGAGTCATCTGTCAATGTGATGGTGACACGGGGAAGCACTTTGTGCACTGGAGGTTCAAAAGGGTTGATATCACAACACTCATCAATATAATTCAGATGGTTACAGCCGACAGATAGCCTGCGAAACAACAGAGGACAACCGCTACTAAAAGCATTAAAAGCATGAAAAAGAGTTTAAGCAATTGTATTTTCTCAGAATGTCCAGACTTGTTGGAAATCGAGTGATAGAGTATTACAGCAGTTGCTTTTTTTCCAGTATCTAAGGCAATATCACAACCTTATAAAGCATTCCAAGAAGTACATATACTGTTAAACGCTGGAATACACAACATTTAAAACCGTAACAGATTTGAAAACACTAGGCACCATACACTTGTATACACACATAAAAAAAAATTACGCAGAAACATGCCTCATTGCAAGGAGATGTGTGTAAATATTTTTTCAAAGTAAATAAAACAAGATTACTGGAGTATGTTTTACAAGCAAATACTACTTCAAAATGTCATGTTTAATTCAACGTGTAAATTGCCATTTCTTTGTAACTGAGTGAAAATTGTCTACACCAATTTTTTTTTTCAATGTAGCATTGAATCCAGATAGCAAATTGGAGCAAAAATATGTACAAACTTGTAGTAGATGTCTTACCTCACTCTATCAGCTCTCATTATACCCAGATTCTCCCCATCACTAATAACAGACATATTGGTATTCAACCTACCAAAAGAGAAATCATTGTGTTTAGTTTTTAGTGCAGAAAGAAAAACAACAACAATTTTCTTACAAATGCATTGTGGCAGTACCATAGTATCATATGATAACAAGATACTTTGATCATGGTACTGAATGTTTATTAATATACAAAGGTATTTGCATCGTGGTACTTTGAATGTTTTGTATGCATTAGGTTATTCTTACTGCAAGTGAAGTAAACTGGAACAAGACAAGAAGAGGGTGAACAGATGAGCCGCCCAGCTCTCATTAAGGCTGCTTAGCCAAACTTTTACTTCCTTCAGACCAGGAAGAGAGTGAAGGAATAGCAGCAGAGAATCCACATGCTCATTCAACTCTGGGCATCTAATGAAAAAAAAATATATATCAATGCATTCTATTATCATTAGACTCTCCCCTGGCCACTGAACTTTTTTTATATTCATCACCCTGTATGAAGCATACCTATTGAAAATGATTATGACTTCATGTTCTTATAAATTCTGAATTTTAAAGTTCTAACTTTAAAACATAACTATAACTGAAGTCAGTTTAATTCAGTTTTCATAATACATCCATAAGCACAAACTCACTGTTCTGTCAACTGAATGAGTTGGTAAAGTCTTTTGAAAAGAACCTCCCAACTGGCACTAGATCCTTCAAAAGGAGGGAAACTGAGGTTGAGCTTCACCAGTGCTGGTTTGTCCAGTCGATGGGAATGTACCAACTCTCCATTGCTACTAGATCTGAAAAAAACATTCATTTTCATACAGTAAATGTGCACACGGTAGGACTTGAAATGGTTATGAGCTTTGTCCTGAATTTAAAATAAACTTCATAAAATGGTTAAAGTGGTTAAGTTAAAGGGGTCATATGATGTGATTTCAAGTTTTCCTTTCTCTTGAGACAATGAAGAATGAAATCACTCATGTAGAATGCATCCATTATGTTTTTCTCTATAACCAGCATAAACCAGCAAAGGACCAGCTTAAACCAGCAAAGGACCAGCAAAGGACCAGCTTAAACCAGCAAAGGACCAGCAAAGGACCAGCTTAAACCAGCAAAGGACCAGCAAAGGACCAGCTTAAACCAGCAAAGGACCAGCAAAGGACCAGCTTAAACCAGCAAAGGACCAGCAAAGGACCAGCTTAAACCAGCAAAGGACCAGCAAAGGACCAGCTTAAACCAGCAAAGGACCAGCAAAGGACCAGCTTAAACCAGCAAAGGACCAGCATAAACCAGCAAAGGACCAGTTTAAGCCAGCAAAGGACCAGTTTAAACCAGCATCCCAGCGTCAAAACATACCTAACCAGCATATGCTGGTTTTTTCAACAGGGTGACCAATTAGCTACAATCATTTGTTCATTAATTACCTCCTTCACAAGTACTTATCATGGTAACCATAGTTTCAAAAGCTGTCACATCGGTAAAACCGTGCAGTAGCTTATAAACAATGGCAGAAAGGGTCTGAAAACTTCTTGAACGCGTTACTGTTAATTATTATTTTACATTAGTAACAGTAATATTAACACGTGAACAACTAGTAAAATTAAGGACTACATCCTTTGTCGGCATGGAGTAGGCCTAAATTACAACCTTAGTTATGTTGAATTATAAGGTTGACAAGCTTTTCTTGAACCAAAAGAATTGAAAAAAAAAAAAAACTAAAGTACATGAGCTTAGATTTTTTTTGAACTCATGGTTTAGTTTTGCTTTTTATCTGTTGAGTAAATTTAAAATATATGATAAATGCGATTAAAATGAGTTTACAACAAAGTGTACTGTTCTAAACGTTATAAAGGCTTTTCTCGCGTCGTCTTTGGCGATGGAGATTCATAGACGAAGTATACTTTATTTTACTATTAGAAGTATTTTACTATTAGTATAATTGCAAAATCAGGAATTTCAGAATCATTTACCTGTAGCATCGCTGTGTAGTCCTGAGCGTTTGTCCTGAAATGATGATACTTCACTTTTCATTTCAAGTGAGACCCGCCTTGAGTGAGCAACATCTTTCTGGGCTTATCATCTCATGAACTGTAGTCTATATTGAAACTGAATGCGTTCACACACACAAGCAAAACAAACCACATTTCGCCACAGGCTACAGTACTTCATACTGACAAAATATTTTCACATTTAAATTAATCGGAGTCGGAGACGCCTAACACAAATGCTTAATTTCATCTAATTTACCAAAATGATGACACCATTATATATGAAAGAAAAATGGAAATATAGACGTCATTAGAAGAAAACCTATAACCAGCAAGAATGTCCATAGAGGTTCATTTTAAAAACAAATCTTTTTTTAACAGATTCAAAATATTTCCTTTTAGTTTTTGACCATGTTGGCACTGATTAAAAAATGATAAAACATGTGTAATTGAATATTGACCTTAATAAATACATACATTTTCCACTACTGTAGCTGGTTTTGTTCCATGTTGCCCTAGAATCAGTAAGAAGTTATATATGAACTTAGACAAAAAAATATTTTTAATGCGCTTTCTTTATTCACCATTTCTTTTATCACAAAAGAAAGTCTCTGAAATGCAGACTAGTGTGTGTTTGGTATAGAAACTGTACACAAAAGCAAGGCACTATACTGTACATTTAAATTAATATCTTTTCTTACTCTCGTCCATTATTCCATGCTGTCTGAATACAAACAAACATGATGTCCCTCACACCTCAAGAAAGAGAGACCGGCACAACACAACCAACAGCCATTCACATGAGAATACCACACAAAAAAATTACAGACACAGCATGTAAACTCCTCTTGGATCAAAAAAGAATATTCTAAGACATATGACAACATTTAGAGCGATCACACAGGATTTTCTGCTGCTTCATTGTTTGCTACAAAGTTTATACAATTTCCAATTATTCAGCAGACTTATCAAACACAAACACACATTGCAACAAAAACCCATCGCAGATCGTACCGAATGGGAAGATGAGTGTATTGATTTCATGTACTAAACATACTTGTTTTAGATGTTACATGAACAAACGCACTGCTCACAGACCGCAAATCGTCGTACATGAATGTGGTGAGGAGACACACACAGACATCACCTCCACAGACTTAAAAAATACATCAAAAGCGGACGCCACAGCAGGTGAATCTGTAGATCCTAAAGTGACCTTTGACCTGACCGTTTACACTGTTCTCAGTGCACAACCACCTCCCTTAACCAAAAGAGGTCTAAATGCTGAGGTGAGCGCAGAACCGGTGGCCATTAAGGAAATGGACAGTGATAATTATGTCACTGTGACGACTTTAGTCAGGTTTCTAAAAGAGTCCTTTGGCTTTTTTTAGGTTCACTTGCTTCCATCCAGGCAGAGCGTCAAACTCTTCTCTCTTCATGTCTAACACTCGCTGAGAACACAGAAAATATTGTAACGAGTGAAAAGAGAGAAACACACAGGCACATAAATACACATACACTAAGGTTCAAAATTTTGGGGTTGGTAAGATTAAAAAAAAAAAAAAAAAAAAAAAAAAAAAAAAAAAAAAAGTTTGTTGTGCTCACCAAGGGTGCATTCATTGCATTCATAACACAAAATCAGTAATATTGTAAGATATTATTACAATCGAAAATATCTGTTTTCTATGTTAAATAAATATATTAAAATGTTGTGCTCACCAAGGGTGCATTCATTTGATCAAAAACACAAAATCAGTAATATTGTAAGATATTATTACAATCGAAAATATCTGTTTTCTATGTTAAATAAATATATTAAAATGTAATTTATTCCTGTGATACAAAGCTGAATTTTTAGCATCATTACTCCAGTCTTCAGTGATGAATAGAAAAAGGTCAAAAGAACAGCATTTATTTGAAACAGACATATTTTGTAAATGTCTTTGCTTTGCCACTTTTGGTCAATTTAATGGATCCTTGCTGAATAAAAGCATACATTTCTTTTAAAAAATAAATAAATAAATAAAATAAACCTTACTGAACCCAATCTTTTGAATGGCAGTGTACTGTATATTCGCACAAACAATCTTAAATTTGCAGAAAAGTAAGGAGAAAATGGTTACAGTAACACGGTGTCTTAGCTAGGCACATTGTGTTTAAACCACAGTCAAATAGCAAAAAATTGACATACTGTACAGATAACAGGAGAGAGACTTTGGACCAATCAGAATTGACTGTGGGTGGGGCTACTCAGCATGACCTTGATGCTTGTGCAGAAATCTAGATTGGAAAGGATGTACATTGTGTTAAAAATCTTACTACAGTTTAATGTGCAGAGACGACTTTAAGCAAGCCAATCATGGATTGAATAATCTATTCAACCAATGGTCTGAATTTGGGGCAGGACCACTGGTTTGCCGACGATTGTTGAATTTACATGCACATTGACTGTGATCGTCTAAATTAAGACCACAAAACGGTTTCAAGAAGACACAGTGTGGACAAAATGCAATCTTGTTGGACTGGAAAAAAATACAAATGTACAGACTTTATCAGAGTTGGCGGTTTAATGTGCATTGGTCCAGGGGTCTCCATCTCCTTAAATGGCCAAATCTCACTGAAAATGAGTGACCTTTGGTAGCTTTGTCACAGCAAATCGCTATCTGTGTGACAGTAATGTGGAAGAGACATGATTTATTATATTTATCATGTCACGCCTAGTTAAGACACTGTGCTCTCAGTATATCATTCTCAGAAATTGTATTGCTGGAAAAACATCTTGCAAATCTTGGATAAAATCTGTTCACACTGTGTGTGTGCGCTCTGTGCATGCATGTGTGCTTGTGTGATTTGATCAAAAAGTTCTCAAAGATTCAGCTGGACAAGAGAAGTCCAAAGTGTGCAAGAAACAGGAAGAAAAATCAAGCATAAAAGTGAGGCTGTCAGGAAACCGTGCCACAGAAACATACTATATCTCTCCCATTGACTTCAGTCCATATCAGAGATACTTACCCACTCAGAATTCCCTACAACCCCGCCTAAAACGGCAAAACATTCCATTCTTAGTATCTAGTCATGTCATACTTTAAGTAACCATTAATAGGTTTTAAATTATAGATTGTTTGCTGGTTGTTATATTTCTTAAGTCTATATACTGTACACTAATGTTGTTATATATTGTTCCTGTCTTATAAACAATAAAAAAAAAAAGTGTATATATTATTCAGGGATGTGATTATTTTTGCATCGGTTTTCTATTTTTACACCAATCCCAAGATGCACAGGTGATCTCTCTCATAGAAGTGTATGCCGTTACCTCAAAGTCCTCGTCGGTCAGGTACATCTCGAGTCTCAGCGGGTCGACGCCGTGGGGAAGGGGACGGGTTTGCAGTGTTGCTAGAGGATAAATACTCTGACACAGTCGAGCCAGAACATCCTCCACCAGAATGATCTGGTTACACACCTCTGCCTCCTGCACACACATACTTCATTTTTACAAAGAGTAAAACCTTTGAAATTTGTATAACGAATATTTTATATTTTTTAGCCAAGATCTAAAAGAAGCACAAAGCTTGGTCGGCACTGATTTGCACAGTATGGAAAACAATACTATGGAAGTCAATGGCGACTGTCAACTGTTTGGTTTGGAACAACTTGAGGGTGAGTAAATGCTGAAGTTTAAAGTTTTTGGGTGAACTATCCCTTTAAACACACTAATTTAACGTCACCGTTTCAGTCAATGATTTCTGTGTTGCCTAAACCAAAAATTTGCTTTCTGATTTTCAAATTTCGTTGTAATCACTGACAGAAATGCAACGCATGTTCAGCATCTTACCCTCTCTGTGATTTCAGCAATGTCCTCTCTGTGCTCCCAGCTGGGGAACATGTTTGTGAAGGTCAGAGGCTCTAATCCAGCATGGATCAAGTATGACTTCTGAGGCTTCTTCTCGTTCTTTTCTGCTAGACAAAGAGAGGTATCAGTTATCTGTATTCACAGCATATGTGGAATCGAAACTGTATGTGAAGCAGCATACAACATTACAAGCTGCTGGTTCAGATGCACATTTCCGGTTTGCTTACAGAACTAAAAGATAATTGGCCAATAAGGCTGTCAGTCACCTCTGCAGTACTGCAACACGGTTTCCATAGCACACTTCCTGTCTGCGTCCCAGCGGATGCGGGCAGAACCAGTACTCTCAGTATCCTGCGGCCACCAGCCCTGCCACAGGTAAACTTCATGATAGTTATCTACTAGGAACAGAGCTAGAAACAGACAGAGAGGGAGAAAAGCATGCATCATTATTTATGACTCATTGTTTCCAGCCTGAGAGAAAGAGTTCATGTGTGTCATTTCTTTTTACCTGGCTGAGGGGCAGAGTACAGATCCTCCTGCAGGAACGGCAGGGAGCAAACAAGGTCTGCGGCTCTGGATGGGTTGAAAAACTCCAGCGCCACAAACTCACCCGAAGAACTACTGAGCTGGAACAGACGCGGGGTGAAGTTAAACTTGCCAGGGTCTGAAAAAAGTGAGAAATATTGAAATAAAAACAGAAAAAGGTAGATGAAGCAGAGAAAAAAAGACTTGATAAAATCATTTGTTTGAGTCTGACTGATAACGGTTTATGAATTCTTGGTTATATTCATTTGTAGTATGGCTTGTGAACATATGTGAGCACATTTCCACCACTTAAGAAAAAAATTATGCTTTAGTAAATCATCATTTCATAATCAGTCAGAATTGTGAGATAAAATGTTGAAAACATTAAAAATTTAAATTAAAAGATAAGTCAAAATTATGCCAAAAATTCTGAGAAATTGTCAAAATTATGACAAGTCATGTTTGTCATGCTAATTTTCATTTTTCTACTTTTCATGTCATAATTATGACATTTTGTATAATGTCATAATTCTGATTTACGATTCTTTTTTATTAAGTACCAGATTTTTTTTCCCCTATGTATGTTAGAGATGCATTATTGTCTGAGAGATCATCAACAAACTTCCCAAATCATGCAGTCCCACTCTCCTCCAGTGTGTTGTACCTTGAAGCATGCAGTCGTAGGCCTTGCGGTCCTTCCTGCCTAACGCTTCCCAGAATTCCACTGGCTCGCCACCTTCCTCACATTCATGAATGGTCACATTGCAGCTGCTGTGAAGTCCCGCTTCCAGTGGCCGTCTAGGAAACACAAATACGAGTCAGACTTCAATCATAACATTTTTTTTTTACAATGCAAAATGTTTTTTTTAAATCTTTCTGACCCCCAAGCTTTTGAATGCTAGCGTATGCTCTGAACTCAGTTTTATAGTACTAAGTATAAATGTGTAGAAGTAAATTACAAGGAAACTAAGTTATCCTTAAAAAATGCATGAATAACTCACTGTTCTTTTATCTTCTCTGCGGCGGTTCGAGCGACATGCCGTGTGTGTGTTTGCATTTTGCAGCCGTGCCACAGGTAGATCAGGGCTTTGTTGATGTTCAGAAGGACCATTGATGTGCGTGATCGCAGACTGCTGCAGTGACATGCCACTTCCAGCAGATGGCCCTCTACAGACACCTCACTTCGCACACAGTACAGACGCCAGTCATCTGAAACACAGATTACAGGGGGACAAACAGTCAAATATTAATACGCTGACATACAGCTTCTTGCACAGTACACTAATTTAATAAATGTACTTGAAGCTATTTGCATGACTAAATGCTTCAAACAATAATATGTTACTATACTGTTCTCACATGCGCTCATTACACACAAATTATGTATTAAAAACAGCTGTTTTTGCATTTTTTTTTTATTCAATATTTTGTAAGAACATCTTAATGAATGATCATAAAAGAGATAAAAATTGCTTCTGGGACCCATGTGACCTAAAGCAATGAAAGGTTACATGCATTGTGGGATACAGTGTTACACTATGAGCTCTTGTTAAATTTGCGCAGTTTGGCAAATGTTTGTAATCCTATTACCAACATACTATGCACATACTATGAATAGAATGCGTAATGCATACTACGCTTCTTTCAAAAATAGTAGGCAGTATTGCCATTTCTAACCAGTAGATTACTAACAATCTATGAGATTACACATTTTAGAAAATGTATTCTAAATATTTTTTGATTACTTTTAGATTACTTTTGACTTAACTTATGACATAGATTCGAATAGAGGTTATTTTGTCTCATGCTCATAACAGAAAACACATTCTATATAAAAATGAAAAAAATAAATAAATAATTTATATATATATATATATATATATATATATATTCCATTTTTAAATCAACAACATGACAGAACCCAGAACAGAGTTTGTGAAAGAACTGCAGTGGGTTTAATGATGAAAAAATGTATATCTCATAAAAATGTCAAATAAAAAAAATAAATACATTTAAAATATGCAATCAAATAAATGTAACTGCATGTCATATGACTCTAATCAACATTTACTGCAATTTGTGAATAATATGCAATCATTTAATCAATAAAAACTTAACTGTAGTCTTATGACTATTTAAGAAAGTAATATATTCTAATAACAAGTACTTAATTTTGGAATCTAATTACATAATTCAGATTACATACATCACTTACAACCCATCACTGTTCCTAACAAACCCAAAATTTGGACTGAACAGGGGCATTGCAAATATGCGATCCTCTTACTCTGAATGTTCTCCTCTTCTTCTTCTCTCTTCCCAGAATGCACAATCATCCCTCCATTGAAACACTGCAGGAAACAGGGCGGCTCCTTCCCCTGCTGGACCTGCATCTGAATATGAGTCACAGAAGCATTGAGTGAGCGAATGAGAGAAGCAGAAATCAGTCAAGTGCGTTTAGAGCAGTATCTCATCCTACCTGTGCTCCTCTCTCTTCATCCAGTTCAACAGTCATGAGCGCAGATGTTCCTTTCTCACTGACCGTCGAGTTTCTGCCCTGCCAGAAGAAATAGCAGCACTTCTCCCTGCCGGGACCTGCACTGCGCACCGGATCCAGCTTCTGCCTGCTGCCCACTGCACATGGACACACACATCCAATAACACTCTTAGAGGAGAGCACTGACAGTTTTATACCAGCATATGAAAAGAGGGTGCATTCTATACTTCTACAATAGAATTTTCCCGCTTACTGCATAATGTCAGTCCTAACAGTCTTCTAACTAAGTGTAAATTGTATTAAAATTATTCTGATAAACTCTCTGATGTTTAGTCATATTTTACTACACAATGTCCATGGACAGGCAAGTTCATTTGTCCCGGTGCCGTTACTAACCTGCTGCGCTCACCATGTACTTCCATTTCACTACGTAAGCATCTCCCTCATGAAACTGGCCGATGCTCTGCTTGGGTAGTCGGCTGTAGTCGAACTCCAGGATGTGCCAGACATCAACAGAAACCGTGCTGATCTCCAGAGAGCGCATGCAGTCATCCGAGCCGTTCCCCACCGGACCGTATCCTCGACCCACATTCTGACCGTCCAGAACTGTACTGATGGGCGACTGCAGGACCGGAAGCATCAGAGTGGCGCTGTACGCCTGCCACTCAGAATGGGAATCTGTGCCCGGAGACTCCTGAGAAGGGAAGAAGAGCGTTTTAAAGAAGAGAATAAGAAAATGAAAAAAACAAAGGAAAGAAAAGTTGTGCTTAAAGGGGTCATGATGAGATTTAAATTTTTTCCTTTCTCTTTGGAGTGTTACAAGCTCTTGGTTATAATTCTTAGACAAGTTCAAAAGATTGAGGTCAGTATAATCTATTTGTAAGAAATTAATACTTTAACAAAGACACATTAAATTAATCAAAAGTGACAGAAAACACAGAAATGTTTTTGAAAATCCTTTAAAACATGTTGTTCTTTTTAAATTTTCTATTCACCAAAGAATCTTGAAAAAATGTATCACAGTTTCCACAAAAAACATTAAGCAGCACAACTGTTTTCAAGAAATGATGCTGAAAATTCAGCTTTGACATCACAGGAACAAATTTTATTTTAAAATACATTCGAATATAAAGCAATTATTTTATACTGTAATAATATTTCACAATATGACTGTTTTTACTGTATTTGTGGTAAAAAAAAATGTAGCTTTGGACAGAACATAAATGACTTTTCAAAAAAATCTTTCTGACTCTGCATTTCTAATAGTGTAGGTATTCAATAATTGGTTCATAATTACAAACAATGATGAAGGGAAATCATTATCAGAATCAGTACATTGCTCACAATTCACATTCCTAATAAAAAAAAAGTCAAAGGATTTTTCCTTTTATGTTTTGCAGCTTTTCATTGAACCAAAAGCAGGTACTGACACACACAGAAACCCACCTTCTGCTGGAAGGGGTGCTCGATGACATTTTTAGGTGACAGTCTAGAAGCATCTTTCCAGTCCAGGAACTTCTCTTTAAAAAGACATGTTTCATTATGTTCGGTCAGTCTGCCAAACATGGCCCAATCTGGGCGGCCTTGACCTTTCCTAAAAAATAACCACACACACAACTTTACATTGAGATTCTCCAAATTAAGTGGATAATTGGTGTGTGTGAAACTTAATATAATCAATTTAAGTAATCTCCTGAATCTTATGTGCATACCTCGGTATGAGCGTGTTGTGTCCTCCAGGATCCAGAGGGTTGATGTCACAGTTGGTATAATCAAACGTCCCGTTCCAAAGGTGCTTGGCCAGCTGAAACGCCACCTTCCTCTGTGCCAATGTTACCTCTTTACCATGCCACACGTACACTTCACTACCGAAATCAAACACTACCACCTAATGTGGAAAAGAGAGCCAAGAAAAAAATATATTCATGATTCCCATATATTCAAACAAAATGTTGTGCAAAATTAGGAAAAAGTTCTTATTAAATGTCAAAATATGCGAAATACTACAAAAAAATACAAAAACAGAATGTTATAAATGTTTTATTCTCAGTTACATAATATAAATCATACTAATAAACAGTTAGATACATAGTTTATTATTAATATTTAAATAATTATAATAGTAAACACAGTTACCGCAAAATGCAAAGAATGCTAAAATGTTTCACATTTAATGAAAACGTGAAATAATGCATGAAGATATTAACACAATATCTAAAACCTCAAAAAGTCACAAAATATGACCTCTTTAGAGCCCAAAAGTGAACTACGAGGCACTTTCCCCCAGAAATCATCATCAGGAAGCAGTTTATCGTCCACAAGACGGAAGATACAGTTTGTCTCCACAATGGCACTTTCAAACATCTCATCCTCGTCTGGAGATCCGGCCGCTGTGATCATTACACACACACACACATAGAAAAATATTATTCATTTCAAGTAAGATAATAGCACATAAACGCTATCTATTTCAGGGTACATACAGTGGTAGTTGGCTGGTCCTCCCAGGATCTTCCAGAACTCAGCAGCTGCAGGGCTTTGAGCATTCACTCCATCTTCGATCGTCTCTACCAGTGCAGCTCGACAACCAAGGTCGTGGTTCAGCTGGATGAAAGTGGCCAGTTCTGATGCCTGGATGTCAAATGGAACAACATAGCAGTGAAGTACAAAGCTATATGATGATATGAAGAATAGCGTGCATAAGAAGTCAGATGGTACCTTGGCTCTTTCAATGACATTTGCAAACTCTCCGATCCAAACGAAGCAATGCTCAGGCGTAACCAGTAGAAAACAGTCACCGCTGTTCAGAGAGGACACTCTAGGCTCCACTAGTCTGGTCTGGACATGACGTCGACCTGGAGAACATTTATGCACATAGTTTAACACACTCAGCCAATAAAACACATACCGCACATGCTGCAGTAAAATATCACAATATTACTATTTATATCATATTTTGTGCCTTCTGTGGGTATTACACTGTATGCCAGGCTTAATGCTAGTTAAATAATTTTTCTGTTTTCACAGAAAGCTGATCAGAACCCATTTGATGTTTGGACTTATAGGATTTCACTGTGGGCGGGGCTTTCCAGCTTAATGTGACAGAAAAAAAAACTTTCCACGGATCACATCATGCCTGGTTAGGAGACAGTGTTAGAGTACTACAGACTGACCTTTGACCTGCATGAGCATGAGTTTTTTGTAGGGCGCTGCGCTGTTATTGGTCATCTGCTCTGAGACACTGACACTGCGCAGACTCACGCTGCTGTAGCTCTCTTTACTGGCCAAACCAGCCAGAGCTGCATCCGACAAACTGGAGCTCTTGCTCACTGGAAAACACGTTAAAAACAACATTATTACAACAGAAAATTAAGTATATTTTAATCTTCTTATTTAGTTAGCAAAATTTTATTCATGTAAATGCAAATTTTCAAAGCAGAAACTATTTTTTTTATGTTCTGCTTGCTGAACAGCAGTATTTATAAATGATTTGTTTATATGTTGTTCTTAATAAAAAAAAATTAGGTATATATGAAGCAATGAAGCAATATTATTTTAGTATTATTTATATACTACTATTAAATTTATATTAGCACTATTACTATTATTTATATTAGCATTATATATTATTATAGTACTTCATATTTTTAATAATTATACTTTTCATTTAAATTTTTGTTTAAGATTAATTTTATTATTTTTTATTATTATTTTTTGTTAACAACTGTTTATTGAATTTTCTTCTGGGAATAGTAATATAAAACAAACAGCAACTGTGCAAATTTAGAACCCACCCCAACCCATTCCAACCCTGGTAGACTTAAAAAAATAATAATAAAATAAAATAAAAAATAATAATCATAATAATCATAAAATAAAAATGTATATATAATAAATAAATAAATAGTAATAATACAAATAAATAAATAAATAAATAATAATAGATAAATAAATAGCAATAAAATAATTTACAAAGATTTTAGAAAAGCTGACACAACATTAGAAGCTGAATGCCATAAATTTACAGTTTTCACATTAGATCCATGTATACGAGAAGTTGAATGTTCCATCGACTTTTTTATTATTTTAATATTTTTATTTAGATTCATTTTATTTTTATTTCAATTTTAGTTTTAGCAATTTTAATACTTCAAGCCGAACTTTTTTCAGTTATTTATCAAGTGGAAAAAATTCAGATATTTTAGTTTTTATTCTAATATTTGTATATTATTTTTAGCTTTATTTCAATTGCTGAAAATATTTTTAGTTAAAGGTGCCACAGAATGCAAAAATCACTTTTATAAGGTGTTTGAACACAGTTGTGTGGCCACAGTGTGTGAAAACAACCAGCCTATAATGGTAAAAATCCACCCACTCATTGTTATATAATCCCAATAAATCATAAACAGTCTCTCCACACTAACAGTTCCAGATTTCTCACTACTATGACGTCATACTCGGGGAAAGTCCCGCCCATTTGTGACGCTCTCTGCCCTATTAGCATATACACAGCCCTGAGTGAGAAGCAGCGGTCCGCCATTACTGTTTTCTTGCAGTAGCTGCTGGAGGTACAATGTCAGTGCCAAAGAGCCATTAAAAGTGCATTGTGTTGGGATGCACCAACGACATATTTTGTTTTCCAAAAGAGCTTCTTGGCTCTCTGTAAGGCTAATGTTGCCAAAGCTACCATTGTCTCTGCCTGTTTTCACTAATGCTGCCTTCACGTGCTACCAGAATGATCGTAAATAGGAATGTGGTAGTTAAAAACTACATTTGGAAGCAATGTGAGGTCAGTAACACGGTCACCACCAGTTAAACCGTAACACCAGTATGCAGGGCCGTTTCTAGCCAATTTGACGCCCTAGGCGAAATCCCTATTGGCTAGTTGCCACTAGATGCCTGTATAGCCATGTAACAATCCATATTGCACATAATTTACACATAAATTAATTTTTATTACATTTGGATACATGTTTAGATATTATCAAAGGCTACTTTTTTGTCTTTATCTGTTTTTTGTTCAATTGTTTTGTTGTTGTTGCTTGAAACATTGATTTAAAGTGTCAGTTATTGCATTATTATTTCAGTCAAACCTATAAAAGAAGCAGCAGTCCGCCATTACTGTTTTCTTGCTGTAGCTGCTGGAGACACAATGTCACTGCCAAAGAGCCATTAAAAGTGTCGTGTGTTGGGATGCACCAACAAACATAGGAGTCTCCATAGACTGCTGAGGACACGGTGGTTAAATTTCATTTTCGAAGGAATTGTCCCGGAAAAAAAATTGAAAAGTCCTATATGTTTGTGCTAATCATTTTACGCCAGACTGCCTCACAAAAGAGGGTCAGTTCAGCGCTGGAGTTGTGCAAAGGTTGATTCTGAAAGAGGGATCGATACCAACGCTTCATGTGTGAACGTCCAGTCAAAGTAAGCATCATGTGTCATATTTTGTTTCCCAAAAGAGCTTCTTTGCTCTCTGTAAGGCTAATGTTGCTAAAGCTACTATTGTCTCTGCCTGTTTTCACTAATGCTGCCTTCACGTGCTACCAGAATGATCGTAAATAGGAATGTGGTAGTTAAAAACTACATTTGGAAGCAATGTGAGGTCAGTAACACGGTCACCACCAGTTAAACCGTAACACCAGTATGCAGGGCCGTTTCTAGCCAATTTGACGCCCTAGGCGAAATCCCTATTGGCTAGTTGCCACTAGATGCCTGTATAGCCATGTAACAATCCATATTGCACATAATTTACACATAAATTAATTTTTATTACATTTGGATACATGTTTAGATATGATCAAAAGCTACTTTTTTGTCTTTATCTGTTTTTTGTTCAATTGTTTTGTTGTTGTTGTTGTTGCCTCGCAACATGATTTATCAACTGCCACAAATACTGCCTAAACAAAATACTGATTTTGTGCACTTTATTTACTGTACCAATATTTTAAATTGGCCTTTGAACTTAGCTTTCTTGCATGGCAAAAAAAAGCGTTACCTTGCCAAAGCACTGACAACCTATTGATCTAATGGCGTTGATGAGTGCTCCAAATGCAAACTTTGCATGCAGGGCAGAGCGTCAGGCAGCAATTGACAGCGCTCTGATCCAATGGCATACAGGCATCGTCAGATTGACAGTACTCTAGCCCAGTGATGTTGGGGGATCCAGTGGGGGCGGCAGTCATATTTCAGAGTGACCGTGCCACTCTTTATCACAACCCTGCTAAAATGTAGTGCCAGTACATGCGCTCATTGGCGCCCCTTCAGCTGGTGGCGCCCCAGGCGACCGCCTAGCTCGCCTATGCCTAGAAACGGCACTGCCGGTATGCCCGCGAGCATGAGCTCTTGAAGCTCCGCACTCTTCTGAAAAGGGAGGCGGGAGCACCAGCTCATTTTCATTTAAAGGGGACAAACACAAAAAACAGCGCGTTTTGGCTCATACCCTGAAAGTGGCAATTTTAACAAGCTATAAAAAAATTATCTGTGGGGTATTTTGAGATAAAACTTCACATACACATTCTGGGGACATCAGAGAACAATTTAAAATATTGTATCAATGCATTGTGAACTGAAGCACATTTCCATTCATTGCATCGTCTACTCACTTTTCTCCTGTTTAATTCTCTTGGTTTCTAGCTGACCGATGTTCAGTCTCTCCTCAGTGTACTCCTGTCGTATGTCTTCTCTTGCAGCGAGAATCTTTAAGGGGTTCCTGGAGGCCTGGACATTACGGGAGGGACGAACGGCCCGCTTGTGCTGCACCATCGCCGATGTCAAGCTAGGAGCCAAAGAGAGGCCAAAAGTCAGAGAAAGTGCAATAAGTAGCCAAACGTTGCATTAAAGATAAATGAAACCGAAAAACTACAATATGCCATATAAAAAAAAAACTTTAAATAAATAAATACAAAAAATATATATAAAATAAAAAATATAATTTAAATATTTTTAAATCTAAAAATAAATGGTTGTACATATATTACGGAAACGTAAAATCTTACGTTGGAGTTTGTTTTCCGAAGATGGCATCAAAGTCCTCATCCAGATGCATCCTGCTGCGGGGAATATCTGTCATGTGGCAGTAAAATTTTGAAAAGATCTCATCATCCAGTCGCATCACTTCCTTCACGGCTTTTTCTGTCACCGTCAAAGTCGTCTCCTGCAAACCTGATACTGAGAGGAAGGAAGGGATTGAGATGGCAGTGCAATAGAAAGAAATGCCAATGGAAATTTTTCACACCACAGAAAGTCATGATGGTTTAAATAAAAGCTTCATTATCAGGTCACTGTGACAGCAAATGAAAACAGCTTCATTTTTCAAAGTATTTGACACCAAATGATGCAATTATGATTTCTACTTTTACCTCTACAATGGGCTCATAGCATCCTCTTCTTAAAAAAAAAAAAAAAAAAAAACAAGTTTTTGCATCAATCAACTCACCTTTACGGTTCAAACGCCCTAAAAACGTCTCCAGCTTTTCCAGCTTCTTATCAGATTCCATCTCTGCTCTGGCCTCAATTTCTGCAGCACATCAGGTTTTTGCCCCAGTTATTATGGTGCAACAACAAACTTTCTCAAACTTTGTGTCTTCCAAAGAGGAATATCTTCTTTCATGAAGTGTGTGTTTGTCGAATGTACCTTCCTGTGGTTTCGAGATAGCTGGCACACTGCTCTTCAGTTTAGCAGAGACTGGAGACAGAATAGGGCTGATCACTGCAGAGGAAGCAGCCAGACCTGTCAGGTAAGAGACAGACAGAAAATAAGTATGCTACCTATGTAATGCTGTTCTATGTAATAAAATAAAAAAATCTAAATTAAATGTATTTATAAATTGAATAAAAGTTTAACAAACATTTATGATTCGGCTGATTAAAAAATAATGACTATTATACATTTGTACCATGATTTAGAGAAGGCAGCCAGTAAAATGTGACCCTGGACCACAAAAAAGAAAAAGAAAAAGAAAAAGAAAAAGTCTTAAGTCGCTGGGGTATATTTGTAGCAATAGCCAAAAATACATTGTATGGGTCAAAATTATAGATTTTTCTTTTATGCCAAAAATCATTAGGATATCAAGTAAAGATCATGTTCCATGGAGATATTTTGTAAATTTCCTACTGTAAATATATCAAAACTGAATTTTTGATTAGTGATATGCATTGCTAAGGACTTCATTTAGATCACTTTAAAGGTGATTTTCTCAATATTTTGATTTTTTCCAGATTTTCAAATAGTTGTATCTCAGCCAAATATTGTCCTATCCTAACAAACCATACACAATGGAGAGCCTATTTATTCAGCTTTCAGATGTATAAATCTCAATTTTGAAAAATTGTCCAGGGTCACAAATGTCATTCAATGTAACAATAGCTTATATAGCAAAAATCTTGTCAGGTATATTTAGAACAAGAATCATCTTAGACTCTATTTATCTCATCGTTCAGCCCCCCAAAACTAATTAATTGTAATTTTAAATATTTATCTTTGCCACTATCCTTCAAACCACTTGGTTTTAGCCATTTGTCAGTAAAATTCTTTTAATAATTTAAAATATAATACAATTTAGTATGATTGCTTTTTCTTTTATATATTTTAATAAGTACAGAACAGAGTAAGTATGTTGTTTCATTTTTACATTACTATATCTGCTACGCTGAATGATGATGGAACATTATTTCACCCATATTTTGACATTTAATTTTACAAAAGTTATTTGAAACATCAAGTAGACACTTTACTTGCATTTAATATGCTTTCTATGTATATAAAATCACTTTTGTAAATTTAATTTGCTGCAGACACCAAATTGGGCGTCTCGTCTTTGAGTATTTAAGTAGATGTTTATATAATTTCTTTATATACAGTTTTTATTTGTAACTATTTTTATTGTTCATTTTTCATTTCAATTTAAGTTAGTTTCACTTAAAATGTTTTATTTTATTTTTTAATTCTTCAATACGTATAATTTTTTTTAGTGTTACTATTTTGAGAGCATTTTTACAGGATTTTATTTTTAGTTAGTTTTGAAGCCAAGAAAAAGTATTTTAATCTCAGATTTGTCCAATTATTTTTTCTTAAACTAATGAAAATTTAGCAAAAGCTTTTACACATTGAAGGATAATAACCCTGACATGTATGTTTGCACATCCTAACCTTTTTTCACCATCCTGGCAGCCACAGTGTACTGGCCGGAGTCATTGGCCACGCCCCTCCCTGTGCTCTGCCACGCCTCCTCCTGCGTCGAGATCATCTGCTTCCTTTCTTCAATGGACATCTGCCCCTCCCCCTCTTCAAGCTTCTGATTACATGAGACAAAACAGATATGATGGTTATAGATCATTCTGATATGTTTACAGGAAGGAAAGACCAACGACTTGGACATAATGGACAGATAATTCACACGAGCAAACTCAAATTGTACAGCCCATGTCAAAAGTGCTTTTAAAACATTAGAATATGTCTATCCTCTTTGCTGTTCATACAGTACTGAAATCTGCCAGTCAACAGCAAAAGCCAAAAATGCAGTAATCCTTACTCAAAGTGCTCTGCATTTCCATCTAAATTAGATTTATGCATTTATGCCGCCAACGCTCATTTAATGAATGCATTTGCCCCGAGTAAATCTACAGAAATGTGGCTGTGCTGCCTGTTTTTGTCAGAGAAATTTGTTTTTTCTACTATCATCCACAGTGAACCGAGGCATAAATTATGCAAACTAATAATAAGAGTCTATTATAAACTAAATCAAACCAGACTATTTTTACTTGGTGTATTAAAGCATAGATATGTATTTATGTAGAAGTCTTTTAGACTCTCTTAGAGTTTATACAGCAAGGCATTTACTTGCATAACTTTTTTTACAGCAATATTGTCCGAGTAGTTCAGCCATTTGTTTTCATACATACTTAAATACATGCACACATAAATAATCATGAACTAGATTCAAATCAACAAGAAAAAAGCAACTCCTATCTCATCTGACACAACCTAATGTTCAGAACATTCTAGACTAATACAGATTATCTGGTGGCACAAGGATGGAACAGACAAACAAAGAGGAAATTCAGACCTTTTGTAGAGTTCTGTTAGAAATTAAATGGTTCCAAAATGCACACGCTCCCTCTTACCTTGCCTTGTTGTCCTACATATTGGCATTTTGGGGTAGATGGGAGAGGAGGAGGAGAGTAGGTGGAAGAAAAGACAGGCTCCTACAGACAGGAGAAGGGGGAAACAGGAAGTAGATAGAAGAAAACAGTGAATGAAAGAATGAGAGACAATGATTACAGGGTGTAGATATGAACGGAAGAAGAATATAATTCACAGAGGTCAGAGAATGAATGAAGGAAAAAGGCAAAAGAAAAATCTGGACCAGTGGTTCTCAACTGGTGTTACTTCAGGCAAGATTTTCAGTATTTTGCATTGGATATCAAGTGACAACTAACACCGCACCAAAACTGGTTATTGTACAAAAATTGAAATCTAACAATATTATTATGAACTGACAAGACTCAAATATGTTAACATGCTATAAGCTGATAGCATAAACTGACCGTTTTGATTTTTATACATCATAAAGGTTTCATGTCCTTGGTTAGCTATATTTTATTAATCACATTTTACATTAGTTTCTGCTGACCATAATGATATTAGAACAGACCAGTCACCTATTTTTGAGATGTGACCCATCAGTTGAGAAGCACAGATCTGGTCCATCTAGAAAAGCAAGGTGCTTCATCTAAAATGTTAAGTGAATTTATTACAGCATGTTCCTAAACATTCCAACAGCAGTCCAGTTTTAGAGAAATGCAAATATTAACTTGCTATAGCCACCTTATTTGTTAACATTAGTTAATTTAGCTAACAAACTAATAATCAGCTATGTATTTTTTACACTTATTCTTTGTAAAAGCTAGCTAATAAAAATACTATTATTTTTATAATTTTACAAAAATTGTTCATGTTAGTGCACTAATTACAGTAACTGTTAACTTTTACTTTTAAAAATGTATGCAAATGTCGAAATTATCAAAAATTGTAAATGCTGTGCAAGTGTTATGCTAAATGAAACCTTACTGTAGTCTAAAATATTTTACAGTGAGCTATAAAATGAGGTTAATTTAGAAGATAAGGCAAGCAGCGTGTCAGTCTTTTAAGAAAAAGCCAATCAAATTGCAGTTTGCAGTAGCAGGCCAGCCAGTCATCTTGCAGCTAAAGCCAAACTTGTCTAAGACAGACACTGATGTAGGCACTTACCCAGAGCTGCTCAGATGATGCAAACTCTCTGATAACGGTCTCGTCCTAAACACACAGGAGATGTGTGTGTGTGTGAGGTACAAAGAGCTAAAACTGGAAAAATGCTACATGATAACCATTTGGTGTGCAAGACCTGGCCATTCAGTTTAGGATAAACCGAAAACCCTTCATTCCTTTAACCTTTGCACTTGCTGAATTGAGAGTAACAGTAACTCAGGAACGCACAAGGTTTCTATATAAAACTCAGTGAACACTGAAAATTACACCGCGTCTGAAAAGATGAATACCACGCATTTTACTAGACCATGCTGTGAAATGACTCAGACTGTGTAAAGTATAGATTTCAGGTCTAGGAAGTCAATTCACAGCTTTGCCTACAGGAGTACATGAAGGTGTTACTATTCACAAATTAGTATAACACATCTGATTCACGGTTTTGATTGGGGAAAAAAATGAAAATTCCCCTCATTTACTCACCTTAAGCACTTTACTTTCTTCCAAGGAACACAAAGGACGACTTTTAAAAGAATATCTAAGAATATCCATTTCAAGTCCTTATGGCACCATTAGAGATGTTGCATTCACGAGTCATTCTTACGTCACTCTATACAGTGTAAAGAATTGAATGAAACATTTATGTGCTTTTTTTAATTTCACAGCTTGATAGCACCAGTCACCATTAAATGTCATCAGAGATTTAAATTATTTGAGTAATAGTGCACTACTAAAGTATTATTTTGGAGAATTTGACCTTTACAACAGTACTGTTAAAACTGAATATTTTTACTCGTATAAAATTTCATGCAGACTTAAAAGTACAAAACACATGTCATCAGGACTTAAATCTTTCCTCAATGAAAAAATGATTTCTTGTCACAAGCCAGTAGTTCATGCTCACATAACTTTACATTTTCTTTTATATTTTAGATAAAACACGTTTACACATATAATAAATATATTTTCCCCACTATCAATGAGAAACCAAACAACAAGAAAACAGTGATTTTAACAGGTTTCTTTAAATAAAATTGCATCAAAAATACTACAAGGGGAAATCTCTACTGTTTTTGAAAGTCAAAAAAAAAAAAAGTTTTTTTTTTTTTGACTATGTACTTTTTTTTTGTACCTAAGTACAATTTCTCAGTACTTTTTACACCCCTGAATATAATTAAATTAAAAACAATGACAATATGAAAACTGCAGTTACAGAGTAGTATTATTTCATATGAATGTAAAAAGTGAATTTATGGTAAGAACATTACAACACTATATTAGTGTTTCACATCATAGACACCACACTGATTATTACTCGCACCCAGACATGTAGAAACTATTATAATAGTGGGTAGCTGGTGGGGACACATTGTGGGAACACTTTACTTAAAGCCTTTATATATATATAATGCATTATAAAAGAAATTCATTCATTTTGCCTGGTAACCCCTGTGATGCATTTCCAGATTTGATGTCGCTAGGCCATAGATACTTACCTTTTTCGTAAAGCTTTGCTCCTCCATTATTTGACTACTCTTCTCGCTTACAGACACCACTTCCTGTTTCTTGTTGATCCTGTTTTTCCAATCTTCCTCTCCACTCTTCTTCAACATGGCTAACCTGAGAAAAGGAAACATCAAACGCTTCACTCCATTTTGAACAGACGTTTACACTGTAGATGTGAAACTCATGCAGATAACTAAGTGTGTACTGTAATATAAAATGAAAAATTACAACAGAAAAGTGTTTGTTGTACAAAACAGTTTCAGAAATCCCACCAAATACTACAGCATACAAAATTCTTCACAATTCAGCTTTCTCATGTGACTTTGTCACGGTTTGTTGTCTCTATCTCTCTGTCTGTACTCATTTCATCCTGCTCTGCGGGGAAGGCTGGGAGATCTAAAATAGTGCTGTCCGCATTATCAGCGCTCACCGAGAGCAGAGATGACCCAATTTCATTTATAAGACAAGACAGAAGGAGAACAGCTCCAGTCAACCTGCAACATCTAAAGCCATCAGCACACTCCAATACATGTTCCATTGTTTCTTACACTGCAATATTGCATAAGCGTGCTTTAAACATGATGTTCATCTGCCATACCTTTCATATACTCATCCTGACACATAAAAATCTAGATTTCTAGCTTAAAAAAATTTCAAGATTTCTGTTTTGAAATTTTTCTTTTAAACTTTCTATTCATCAAAGTATCATACAAAATGTATCCCACATTTTGTTCCCATAAAAAAAAAAGTTTTAGAACTGTTTTCAACATTGATAGTAATAAGAAATTATTCTTGAGAAGCAAATCGGCATATTAAAATGATTTCTGAAGGATCACATGACACTGAAGACTGGAGTAAAATTCAGCTTTGCATCTCAGGAATAAATTATATTTTAAAATATATTTACATAGAAAACAGCCGTTTTAAATTGTAACAATATTTCACAAAATTACTGTTTTTACAGTATGTTTTGATCAAATAAATGCAGCCTTGAAATATCTTTCAAAACATTTAGAAATCTTACTGACCCCAAACTTTTGAATGATAGTGTATTTATTTATATTCTTTCATTTTATTTCTTAAAATTATATGTTAGTAACAAAATATACATTGTTACTTTGTAGCCAGATACAAGTTTGTTAGGGTAAATAAAAATACATAAAGACTACTGTTGAGCCCTGGACAATCATTTTGAAAGGTTTATTACTTAATTAAAAAATAATTTTTTATAGTGAAAAATAGGATTTTTACTTCCAAAATTTGACTCCTACGCTAATATGCCATATTTTGTGTGAATTACCATACATAGGATTTGCATACTGTATGTATGCGTGACTTACAACCAGCACACACCTTTCTTTGATTGACATAGATGTCATGGCCTCTGGATCTTCGTGGATCTCTGGCTTTTGGTCTTTGGAGACGACGAGTCCAGAGGGGCTGTATTTTCCCAGGATCTCTTCTTGGGGTTGTGTTGGAGGTGGTATGACGCACTGGGGTTTGGGCTGGGTTTGAGGGGGTATCTTGGGTTGAGGGGGAATGTAGGCATGTGACTGAGGTGGAAGGAAGGATTGCGGTTTGGGCTGCGTCTGCGGCGGGACCCTGGGTTGCACCTGCCGCTGGGGTTCAGGGAACAGCTGGGTTTGCCATGGAGGAGCCTGAGAGTCAACGTGGATGTGAGGTTGAGAGTCAGAAATGAGGTGTGCTTGTGGTTTGGCCTGTGTCTGTGGTGGTGTCGGCGGGCTGTAGGGTTGTGTTTGAGGTCTAGCATGGGTTGGTGTGTCGATTTGAGGGTGCTGCACTGGTTTTGGTTGAGGCTGCAGAGGCGTGTAGGACTGGGCTTGTTGGAGGTAAGTGAGAGTGTTTGAGGTGTGTGAAGAACTTCTGGAGGAGACCGCAGCTGTGCTCACCGTCCTTACGGGAACGCTGGGATCAGAGGCATCTGGAGAAACACATTGAGATCCAGCATGAGAGCAAATACACATACAAAGAGACTTACAGGGTAAATCCCACAAAAGCTGTCAGAAACATGTCCATTTCTCCACCAAAAAAATTAATAAATTTCTTAATGCAAAATATAAGCATTTTTGTAGGAGTTTTAAGATTTGCTTGTATTGTGACATTAAATCTTTTTGTGAATTTTAATTGAACACCCACTAAATCTCCATTAATGTAATGCAAAAAAAAAAATTGTAATTTTACATTAGAATGTATTTTGTTTTACATCATGGTAGTATTTGTTGTACTACCTTTCAATGCAATGGCATTAATTATTTTTAAACTAAGCTGATTTTATACTAATTTACTTCAATAAAAAAAAAATTGTACTTCAATATTTTGTACTTTAATACAGTAAATGCTTTATAGGTTTGAGAATCTAATGAGAATCATTACTCAAATAAAATAAAATAAAGGAGGTGAAATTATGAATTTGCACATAACATCCTTGACAGAATTATTATTATTATTAATAATAATAATAAATAAAAAATGTTACATCAATATTTTGTAATATTATATTGTGTTAATACAGTAAAAAATACATATACATTTCAATATCTAATGAAAATCATCTTTGAAAAAAAAAAAGAATATTACATTCATGACAATTAGAAAAAATCAAATAAATCTTTTTGTTTTGTTTTGGGTTTTTTTGAGGGGGTGGGGGGTGGAATTATGAACTGGATATGACAAAATAGACTAGATTCATGAGACTATAAGCAGAGGCATTATATCAGTACTAATTAAATCAGATGAAATCAAAAACAGCTCAACGCTAATATACCATTCAAATATTTGCATTAATCCATCCAGTTAATAATAGACAAATATGTGTGTAGCCACAGCTATTCAATGCAACAGATAAAGAAAAAAAATCATAAAAATCTAGAAATGCATTACACCATCTGCTTACACACACACACACACACAGAGTCATGTTTATCACAGAGCTCAATCAATATCTGACACACATGAACAGACAGCAGCCTAAAGCACCACTGCCACACAAAACACACACATGCACAATGTTAAAAACACCCTTTATCCTATGAAAGCCACTGTCGCATTCTGCTATCATGGCTGTCCTTTAACATGTGGCAAACGTGAACCTAATAAACCGCTGTGTTTTTTTCCTGTAGGCTGACAGCATGTCTGTATCAGTGTGCGCTGAGACACACTTCCAGTCGTCTTACCGCTCCCGTCTTTCATTCATTTCCCTCTTTACTACGAAACAATTCACACACACGCCTATTGCTTCCAGGCAAATGGATAGTAACAGCTTTGGCGGGGAACGCAAACAAAAGCCACGGAGCCACTTCTGCCCGATTCATTTCGGCATCATTAGTTTTGCGTGACAAAGAGAGCCGCATGCTTGATGTATGATAAATTATGCTAATCACATTCGACTCGAGCAGCATGTAGGCTGGAGGCCGGTTAACCCAGTTAACCCAATCAGTGCAGCATGTGTGTGATTGTGTGCACAGAGACAGTAGACACAGCTGATTGGTTTGCACAGGATCTAAACCCATTTTCTTTTTCATTCTATCTATCCTTACCTGAGACGATGGCTCTGGTACCGCTTCCTCTTGCCGTCTGATGGGCATCTGGCGAGAGGTAGCCTCCCTGCGAGATGGGTGTACCCTCTTTCTCCCTCTCCCGTGGGCCACTCAGCTCTGCGTCTCCCCTGCCGTGAGGGGGTGTGTGTCTGAGCGCATGTGTGTGCAGAGGGGAAGTCGCACTGGGGAGCTCTGTGTCTCTCTCCTCTCTGCTTAAATACCCTAGTCTTCCCCTCCGCCCACTCTCGTCGGCCACACCCTTGCTGTACACCGATTGGCCGGGCAGCTCTGCGGGGGGCGGGGACTGAACATCAGGTGTGGGTCTTTCCCCACTCTCTGTAAGACTGAAGTATCGAACTCCTCTCTCATAGGACGGAAACGGAGCAGAGACCACCTGATTGGGTGAGGCCTGAGTGGTGGGTGGAGCTGCAGAGATCCCCATGCGAACATCTGCGGTCATTGATGGGGAAGCACTTATCACCGTGGCAACAGAGGCCTGGGCGGTGACCGCGGTAACAGAGCGGACCAGTGATGCAGAGAGAGGCTCCAACTTCACGCTTCCATTTTGCAGCTGGAGAGATAGAAAGAATAATTATATTTTCAGACGGTGTTCACATTTACAGAGCCCGGAGAGGTCAGAGGTCATATGCAGGATGCATGATTCAGAGGCAGCTTGCAGAGATCTGATGTGCTTTGCATACCAAACAAACTCATTGGTAAACTTCTCAGACATGCAACAAACTTGATTTTTTTTTACACCACTAATCATCATCATCATCATCAACGTCTGTTTAAAACACAATTCTAATCCCACGCTCTTGAGAAAAACTGTCTCTCATAGCAAGCACAGAATTGCCTATTTAAAGGAATAGTTCACCAAGAAAATTATGTTTGGTCATCATTTCTTTCCAAACCTCTAAAAATCGATGTAGAATATAAAAGGAGTTATTGTGCAGAATGTCCTGGCTGCTTTTTCACCCCCATGAGTGCAAGTGAATGGGACTTTTGAGCTTCAAAATGCACCATAAAAGTTGTTGTGACTTGTTCCTTGTGATAAACGAAGTACACTTTAGCATATTTTTTAATAGGAGTACTTATTATGCATTAATGTGAAAATGTCAAATTTATATTAAATGTAATTAGTTGAACTTGAGAGTATTTTTGATCCACTTACACAGAACTTCAGCACATCTTTATATATAATTTCATGATTACAAATATCGTCTTTGAAATAATGGTCAAAGTGTACCAGTGCTGAATGTACTGCTATGCATTTATGGTAAACTATAAAATATACTTTAATGTCATTTCTATCGAAACTTGTATGTTGTGTATTTGAATATATTTGTTATTACACATTTGTAATGATGAAGTTGAAATTTAAATGAACTTAAATTTGAACTTCAAATTTTAAACTAATCAATTTAACATCAAATAACATTACAGTTCAAATTATAATAAAGTACTTCACGTGCTTCAGCATGAAATTTCTTTAAAGCACGAGAAAAGATTAGTAAAACAATTATTTAAAATGTACTTTTCAACTTTTGCAGGAGAACCTTTGACATTATTATAAAGTGCACTTTTTTTTTTTTACAAAAAAAGGTTTACTTTAGTCATGAACGTGTACTTTTTAAGTACACTTAAGTGGCCTTTTATTTCAATAATATTATTATCTACAAGTAGTTTTTCAAAAAGATACTTTTAAGATTTGAAGTACAATACAGTTGTGTACTCCTTTTTTGCTATATTCCATATCATCTGAAGCCATATGGCCTTGTGTGAGGAAAAGATTACATTTTGGAGCCTTACAGCCCATGTTTTCCATATGCTTTTGCTGTGCAAAGAAAAATCAGCGTAAACATTCTGCCAAACATCTCATTCATTAAAAAAAAAGTTTGAAAAATATGAGTAAATGGCAATTTTAATTTTGGGGTAAACTGTCCCTTAAATAATGTAACACAGGCACAGTGAAATGCAGTTACTCAGATAAGAAATTAAACAGGTCAGTCTCTTAAAATAAAGTAACGAAACTGTTATAATGCAACTCAGCAGTTGCAAATATCCAGTTGGAAATGCAACATTGTTGGGGCCTCAGCAATTAACCAATCAGCAGCTGCTGCCAAGGCAAAGCTCTCACTGACCAGCCAATCAAAAGCCTCAGTCCAGAGAGTCTTACTTGCTCGCTCTGAGGGGGACCAACAGAATCAGTCACAGCAGGTTGATCTGTGAGACCGGACGGATCTACGTCTTTTGTAAGTTCCTGTGTATAGCACAATGTCTCTGGAGTCAACTACAACTTCTAAATGATCTCTCTTTAATAATGTCTACCTAAGGTAAAGGGCACATTTTCTAGACCGCTAGTGACACCAAACTTAAATGTAAAAGTTATTATAGTCTCTAAATACAGTGAACTAGCACACAGGTAAAAAGAGGGAGGCCTCACCTGATCAACCTCGTCCTGGGTGATTGGTTGAGTCTGAAAGCGGGTGTTGGCTCTACGCTGGCGTGTGTCAGGACGGGGTCCGTTTGCTGACTGGCCAGAGGGATGTGACAAGCGATTGAATAATGCCATCTTCTCATAAAGGCTTAGTGTTGATAAGTCTGGCTCCTCGGGACCCAAATCCTCTTCTCCCGGAACCGCCTCCTTCGAAACATCTTCTTTCTCCTGCTCATGGTGGGTCGATCCATGTGCTGATGATGCCTGCAGACTGAGAGGAGAATTACAGGTTGTTATACTATAATACATTTCTGCACACAGAGTGACCGAGACCAGTCCGGCTGCTAACAAAACTTCACAAAATACACTTAAACAATTATATTAAGTATTCCAGTGAGTAAGTAATCCAGTTTATTCATTTGTTTATATAAGTCTGTGTCTTTGAGATTCAGTCATCAGACCTGCGAAAGCAATATGACATTTTATACAGTCAGCTGATGACTTGTGTCCATAAATGACTTATATTTTTATAATAGTTATATTTTTCTTTTAAAACTAACAAAAACAAGTAATTATACTACATAGCTGTATAAAGACAGTAACATGTTAGATACTTCTGCATTAAAAATTGTGCAAAAGTGTCAAACTTTGTTTAACTCTTTAATTGTACAGTCAGTGGCAAGAACTTAGAAAGACAACAGGTGCAAAAATGGTTCCTGGTAAAAAGGAAAAAAAAAACTTTGAAAAATGTTTTATACTTCTTTACACAGAGAACTTGCTGATCTCATATTATGGTCAAATTGAGCACTTAGATAAGATGATAACTGTGTAGACTGAATCAGGGAGAGTCTGTTGTTTCAATCAGATAATTTCACCCTAATAAATACACACAAACAGAGTTCAACTCACTCCCTGGTCAATATTCCAGTCCACATTCTCAGTTTTAAAAAGACATAGGACTCACAAGCATTGGTGTTGTGCTTTTGTACTTATTGTAATTTAATTTCATTGATTTGCTCTCTCTTTGCCTTTCTAGTTTAAGTGAATCTCTCACCCTCTGTCACTCTCATAAAACTGTTGACAGACGGGTGACACCTCTGACATTTCAAAGCACAGAGAATGCCAAATGTGTTTTGCAACTTACCATGTGACTGTTTACAGCTAATCTGGGTGACCACGCGCTAATGTAGACACCCAAAACATCTGCACATGCTCACACACATTAAAATACTCTTACTTTTTCATACACACAGGCACTTGCTCACATTTCAATCACGGAACTGCATAACCTCATAATTGCATGTCAGACATTCAGTTTTCACACTCCCAACAACAACTTACAACAGAACGTACAATCCACCAGCAGATGGTGGACTGGCACAAAGATTCCCACAGAGACTTGCCACATTTTGAGACCTGATTAATCTAACGCACCAGTCAATGAATGAACCAGGCAATTTGTCTCTTTCTTCTAAGTATGGTCTGAATTCTCTATTAATATGCAATCATGCTGTCAAAGAACACTGTTCTGTTTCCATAAAACGTCCAAGTCAAGCAATGAACAAATTAAGAAACAGCATGCAGCCCAAGACGACAAGGCCTATATCCTCATATATACACAAAATAATTCAAATGATACCTGAAACTAGTCATGGAAGTGCTGACTACAGCAGGACTGGGGATTCTGGGAGCAGTGGTTTGAATAATGATGACTTGAGAAGGGGAAGCGGGGGAACTTTACAGGAGGACAAAAACAAAAAAGTAATGCAGAGTGAAGTAAACAAGAATCAGTGCAAAAGTAGGGGTGTATAAGCAATCATCAAAACATCAGGGTCAATGTAAAAAATTCAGCATCAAATAAGTGATTATGGGAATGTGAGTAGACAATGATGGGTTTATCCCTTAAAGGAATAATTCACCCACAATGAAAATTCTATTACTCACCCTCATGTTGTTCTTCCCCCCCATATGCAGTCATTTTTCCAAAAACACAAAAGTAAAAATGTCATGCTGCTCTTTTACAAACATTCAAAGTTCCTAATGACCGACCACAAGCTCCAAAAACTCTACCAAAGTAGACCATGTGAGCTTAATTCATACAAAATAAAATACAAACTTCAAGTCATTATTTGTTAAAAATTCTTCCTTCATCAGAATTGTCTTTGTGTTCCAGGGAAAATGCAACAACATGAAGGTAAGTCCACAGAATTTGTCACTTTTTGCCAAACATTTTTTTTTATTGTAGTGAAGAGATTCATTTAATGATATGAAAACTAGGTCCTTTACATAACCAAAAGTAGGAAATGACTTACGTAGCAGCAATGACAACTTCCTCTGTCGTGACCGGCTGTGTCCGTGAACGATCCTGCACTCGTCTGAGTCTCCGCTCAACCGCAGCATTGCGTGATCGAGGTTTGGGGACACCTCCCTCTGAAGTCTTCTCCAGCTCCTGCAAGACAAGAGGTCAAAAAAAGTTTGGTTATTATGCAAATTTATTGGCACTTTTATGCTATAAATAATATATATTCTGTACATATGTTTTTGTAATCATTAGTTTCATGTGATTTCATATAACAAGTTGTGTATGCTAAAGAGATTTTGTACCCTGAAAAGAGACCTCTTGGCTGCCACGCTCATTTTAGCTCGTTCATCCATTTTTTCCTCATCCACTGGACAAAAAAAATAGGATTAAACATGAGTTACTCAATATTAACTTTGTTTATAGAACTGTAGTGTAAAAGCATGACTATGACCAAATCACCGCTGAGGATATTTGATACAACAGTTTGTTTGATATCGTTTAAATTTTGACTCACATTCTGCATGATGAAGCTCTGGACTAATACGGGACCTAAAGATAAAAGTACAAAAAGAACAAAAATATTTGACCCTGATGATTCAGTTGTTGTGGTATGATGACTAAAGAAAAGAAAAATTAACTACATAGCTAGAACAAATGCACATTTCAGATACTAATTTAACCTTTCTAAAAATGCTTTCATATCCAAATTCAGATAAGTATATTTATTAAAAGACTGAGGGATACTCAAGTATAAAACAATGACAATTTACCACTACTGATAATAAATTAGTAGTTTCAGTACAACACCTGACTTCCTGTTTCACTGTACCTATCAGACTCCAGCCTTTCAGCTGATGTAATTGCTCATTTTAGCTCGTTCATCCATTTTTTCTTCATCCACTAGACAAAAAAAGAGGGTTAAACTCAAGTTACTGGATATACTGTTTATAGAATGGTTGTGTAAAAGAATGACTATGGCCAAATCACAGCTGCTGATATTTGGTTTGATATTGCTTACATTTTGACTCGCATTCTGCACATTGAAGCTCTGGACTAAGATGGGACCTGAAGATAAAAGTACAAAAAGAACAAAAAATAATTGACCCTGAGGATTCAAGTGTTATGGTATGATGACTAAAGAAAAGAAAAATTAACTACATAGCTAGAACAAATGCACATTTCAGATACTAATTTAACCTTTCTAAAAATGCTTTCATATCCAAATTCAGATAAGTATATTTATTAAAAGACTGAGGGATACTCAAGTATAAAACAATGACAATTTACCACTACTGATAATAAATTAGTAGTTTCAGTACAACACCTGACTTCCTGTTTCACTGTACCTATCAGACTCCAGCCTTTCGGCTGATGTGATTGGCTGGGTTCTAAACCTCTCAGATGACTTTCTGTCATCTCCAGGGGAAATGTAACGTCTGGGCCGACGTGCTCCTCTCTCCCGGTCACTGTTGACAACTGGATCGATCTCCATGGGAACCTGGTCTCCTTTAGACTCCCTTTGTTAGACAGGAAAGATTGTCTTAACAAAAGAAACACATTTTTCAGAATTTGTTTAGTACCGAGCCTCTAAAGCAACATTCGCAGAATAGAAACATCTGCAGAAAAAGAAAAAAAAACAAAACTTTTTTTGTGCACACAAAAAAGATCTCGGGGCACTTTAGGGGATCCACAGTTGAGACTGAATTTTATCTTTATTAAATACAGAATGCTGCAACAAAGCTAGTCTAGATAAGTCAGTCTGGGTTATCCCAATTCCCCCAAATTTTGGAGCAATACAGCATAAAATCAATCAAAAAATCAACAAATCACAATACATTTTATTTAGCAATGATAATCATGCATTTGATGAAGATAAAATCAAATTTCTGCACGCAATGTCAAGGCAAGGTTAAGATCAAGCAGTTTGTACCATGGCATCCAATCTACAAAATCTCATCCCGATGCCCATTTACTGTAGTTAGAGGAGATTAGATTAAGTGATTTAAATGCAAAGTCATTGTTGAAGACTTAGCTGCTTGGATGACAAGTGGCAAAGTTTCAGCAATTACAGATTAAACCTTTAAATGATGAGCAGCACACAAGTGATTGCATATGATCAAAAAAGGCAGAATTTCACATCCAATTGTTGGGATTATTACTTAGAGGTTAGTGGATTTAATCATCATCTTTGATAAAACTTTGTTTTAGCATGCTGACATGCCAGTTTACATACAGCTCAGGTCTGTGTCCAGAAGCATTCTCCAGGTAGGAATGTCTCAGTTTAGCCACAGAAACTCTTGTGTCCAAGGTGCCCATTTCACCATTGGCCACACCACTCGGCTCTCTAGTATGAAGCCTTGTACCTATCACCATTGCAGACTCTCGACTGGCAGCATGCTCCAGACTTCTCAATGCAGCAGACCGTTGAGTTACTCCAATATCTGACATGGAGCGGATTCGCACCTTTGGCCTCAGGTCACCTGCATCCTGGCTCACTCGATGTTGAGCTTGTGGGAGGAAGGAACCTTTCTGCAAGTAGCCTCCAACATCCCCCACCCTATGGTGTAGAAAATGCTGTTGATTGGTTAGCTGTGTGGGAGCTGTGTCTATTTCTTCAGGTAGATGTGGGTTTAACCTCTGCTTTCCTTTGTCAGGTCTTTCAAAATTATCATCTGGCTGGCCCATTCGATGCACTCCTTGCACTTCCCATGCATCCAACTGTCCAATTTTACGTACCCTACGTTCCTCCCAATCATCTTCTGATTGGCTTATCCTTCTCCGTCTGACATGCCCTTCTTCATTCTCTGACAGATTAATCCGTCGTCTTCTACCATGTCCTTCTGCCACTTCTTTTTGCAGGAACCTTTGGCCTTGTTTCTGCTCCTCTACCTCTTGACCGATTTTCTTATCACCATGCACCAGTGGTTCAACAGACTGTAAAGTGTGGCCTTGTCTTCGATCAACTTCCCATTCTCTTTCTTTGAATTCGTCAACTTTCCTGACACCTCCTTGTTCCATCCCCTCTAACCGGTGAGTGCTCCAATTATCTTGACCCTCCTCCTTTTTAATACCAGCCACTTGCTTGTTTTCTTTTCTTTGACCAATCTTCCTTACACCACGTCCCACATCTTCACCTTTCCAACTATTGTTTGTGCCACTATCTACCTCTCTTTCTTCAGATTGACTGGTCCTTCGGTCATAATGCTGTTCTCTGTCTTTTAGTAGACCAATTACCTTTTCACCTGCTATTGTTCCCTCCTCCATCTGAGCAATTCCTCTTCCATTAGGCCCCTCCCTTTCTTCCAACTGGTGCAACTTTCTTCCACCTCTCTCCTCTATCTCCTCTGACTGGCTGATCCTTCTGATTCTCTGACTTTCCAAACCTTCATCAGTTTGTCCACGCATGGGATCATCCACACTCTTTTGCCTGCGGCGGATCTCTGAGGGTAGCACAGCTTTTCTGCTCTTAAGTAACCCTTCTGAAGCTGGATCCACTCTGGATGCTGATCGACCTTCTCTGTGAATGGGCTGAATGTGATCAGCACTGGCCCTTCGTCTAGTCTCTTCACCCTCTTTGTCAGCAGGTGCCAAACTGGGTATGGGCAATCGTCCTTTGGGATCCACTGTCTCAGACTTACTAAGTGAAGGTCCAGGCACAGGGTGAGCTGCATGAGCATTAGAAGATGAAGATAGATGGCTAGAAGTATGGGAAGGAGCCGAGTAAACAATTTGCCCATATGCTGGAGGCAGTGCCTGGACTGAACCATACTGCAGAGGGCTGTGACCATAATGCCCATGTGACAGACGTGAATGCAAGGTGTGTTCATGTTCATGTAGAGGCTTCTGAGTAGGTGCATGTACTTGAGCTGGTTGGCGAGTGTCCCGATCTAAAGGCACTGGTTGAAGGATAGCCTGATACTTTTGTACAGGTGGTGGGGCATCTCTGGTACCAGGAAATGGCTGCTGGAGATCTTTGTATGCTGGGTGTGGCTGTTGTGAAGGTCTGTGCATTTGTGATGGTTCTTGAGCATCTTGACTATTTCTCTTTGGTAGGGATTGCTTGATTTGTCCAAATCCAGACTGACGACCCATGGTGCTAGGGTGTATACCAGGACTCTGTTCATAGTTTGGGGGCTCTGCACTTTGGGCACGCTGATGATTTCCAGTTTCACTTGAAACTATATGTTGAAAGGCAGGCGAGTCCATACTGTGAGTGCGCTGGAATCGCGGCCGCTCTGCACTATGTGCCCTTTGTTGACGGGTCTCCTGATTAGGTTGTTGGATTGGGGGTTCAGAGCTCCGTGTTCGCGGTTGGTTTGCAGATTGAGGTCGTGGAGCTAAATATGGAGGGGCAACTGTTGGATGACGTCTGACAGAAGATGCATCTGGCCCTGAATCAGAACCCCTTCCCGAGATGTCCTCCCTTGTCTGTCTCTCTCTTACTCGTATTCTTCATTAACGGAGGAAAAAGAGGAATTAACATTCATCCAATTAAAAACATGACCTACTATCATCCTGAGAGAAAGTGTCATCAAATTGATTAGAGATGATGATAGATTAAACATTTTTTGTCCCACACATCAAGTATAAGAACCACTTCCTCATCTTAGAATAGTATAAGGGCTTTCGCACCACGTAGTTCTAGGACCTCAGTTCTAGGAACTAACCAGCATGGTGATTCCTAGAGAACCTATTTCCCCCTTGGGCTGTTTTCCTGGGTGCATTCGCACCGGCAGCAGGAACTCTGAAATGGCCGACAGCGACATCTTTATTTGCAGCATTTACAAACATCAACAACCAGTGAATAGAGGATGCCATGATCGGAGCTTTTGTTGTTGTGTGTTGTAAGTTTCATGATAACGGAAATGGAATGTAAACACTATTTATGTGACTGAAAGAGCATGAAAATCTGACTAAATCTCCCATGACAACTTGCAGTGTTACATATCTTCGAGGATGAGAAAATAACACAATGCTGCAGACAACAGGTAGCTAAATGCCATTAACATTGTTTTCCATGTTCATGGAGTAAATATATTTTCCTGGCTTTTTAAAAATGCTGGTTAGCCGATGTTTCACATGCGTTTGGCTAATCAGCATACACTTACGTCACTGGTAGTTCCTACAGAACTGTTTTAGACCCTACTCTGAAGTAGGAGCTAATTTAGTTCCCCCAAACAGAGTTCCTAGAACTAAAACTGTTACTAATTCCTGCAGTGCAAACATGCCAAAAAGTGGGTACTTCCGCCAGTAGTTCTAGGAACTATGAAAAGGTTCCTCTGGTGCGAAAGCCCCTTCTGTTTCGATAAATTCTACAGCTAGCTTTTGCCTGACATCAATATGTTAAACATTCAGGGGGATAAAAAACAAACACCCAACATATTCTCTTTTCAGAAATATGTTCTTCAATAGCTGGAAAGCAAAGTCCAGTTATTTGCAACCGTTTCGGTAGACTAATATAAACACATTAAAACGCAATAGTGCCTTGGTAACCATTTATGGTTACTTGTAACCATTTATTGGCAATCTCTCAGCCAGCAGTGACAAATAAGCTCCACCTGTTACATGTTTTTTAAGTGAAAAATTGAAAAGGAATGAAGCCAAGTCTCATTGTTAGGAGCTGGTCTCTGGTGAGGGGCAAAGGTCAAGGGTTAAAAAAAAAACAGTGGAAGGATGAAGAAGATTAACAAGGGAAATGTTTGCTAACATCTATGATGACAGTATATGGAGAAAGTCAATATAATGAAAACTAAAGTGTGCAAATGTATTTTTGAGTGCATGGAGTTCGTAGGATATAAGGTCAAGTGTTGGAAAATCGAGTTAGCGGGTCAACTGGGGAAATTTAAAGGGTTCCACTCCCACTCTGATACCTGGATGGCCAGTTGATTTGAGAGTGTGATTCACTGTCCGTGTCTCTCCTGAGGGACCACTCACTCTGAGAAAGAGCTGCCAAGCTAAAGAACACAGAGGCCCAGACCCTAGTTATCACAGTAACATCATCATGACATTCAGCACTATAACAAAACACACTTGTGCTTTACCAGTCCTCATCTAAATGGAGACCATTGTGATGTCACAAATAATGGAAAACATCTGTCCACTTTTCCTGATTGCTTCCTCTCTTTCTTGTATAGTTATTCATTTTAATATAAGGTTCCTCAATTAGTCTCTGACATCATTACTGCCTAAAGCTGGCCGCACACTAGACAATTTTCAAATCTTAACCGATTTTAAAACCATGGGAGACCACAGACATGAAGAGAGTTAACCGATTTTTAGCCTTATAATCCACTGAACGCGCACACTAGACAATTCTACCAGACAGCGAGACCACACGCTTCATGACTTTAGGAACGATTTCACAGTGACACGAGATCTCACGAGATCAAACGTGACTAGAGAAGAAAAACAAATGGAAGACAATCGCAATCAGCTGGCTCTCCCAGCGCGCATTCGGTTTCACAGTGAAAAACAAAGTATAAAAAAAGAATATGGGTGATGTATTCTGCTTTCGTGGAATTTTTGTGGCTGCCAAGTTTCAGCAATAGAAGCACGCAACATCTGGTAAGTGACGCTTGCTCGCTCTCATTGGCTATGGTGGGTATCATGCAAGAGGCAGCCAGATCAAGAGTCACAACAAACAAGTTTGATATTTACGATTTGAGTTCGGGGATGCTCCATCTCAATCGGGAGCAGTTAAATAATCGTAATGACACCACACAATAGAGGAGTTTTTGGACAAAAGAAAATGTTTGCGACAAGCTGTGAATCGGCCCACACCCCCTGATCGTTCGGGGGTGCAAATCTGGCTTAAAATCAGCCTTAAAATCCTCTAGAGTGTGGCCAGCTTTAGAGGCCTTCATTTAAGTATGATGATCTCATCAGTTTGGACATCTTTCTCCTCATGGGTTGTCAAGTTATGTAATACTTCAGATAGAACACATGCACCTGTATCTGGATATAAAAGTTATACAGTTATCATTTTATAAAATATTAGGGGTCTCATGTAACAACAATCACACTGACATACACAACTCGTGGTCAATAAATCTCAACATGCAAGACACCTAATCTGACCCTCGGTGTTTCAGAAGAAATGTACTGCTCTTCTCTACTTATCTCAAGATACATTTTATGAATGTCTGAAAACAACCAATTACTGTCATACTAAATAATGTGCAATTCTCATCCACTGCTATGGGGAGACTAAGCTTTGAGTGTAGTGGGCAATGCAGTATCTTTCAGCAGAGCTTCAGAGTGAAATTCTTGCTGATGTCCAGTGAACAGTTCTACATATTTAACCCCAGCTCACCAGCTCTCTGGCATGACTGTAAACCTGACTAAACACAAAAGCTGGTCCATTCAGCATTTTTACCAGGAGTATGTTTAAGATCTTCAGCATTATCTCAGTAAGGCAAAAAAACAAAAAACAAAAAAACCCCAAAGCACTAGTCCTTGCAGAGGTCCACCACTTTATTGGAAGATAAATTATGGGAATTGTTAACCCTGTTGCTTTTTCTCGCTTTATAGAATGATTTACACAAAGTAGGCAAGTGCTCAGATCCTGAATTTTTCTGAATTTTTTTTCTGAATAAAAATCTCTTTTCTTTTCTTATGAGACTTTGTTGTAAAGCAGTCTTTGTAAAAATCATTCATTCCCGTACCCATTAACTACCCATGTTCCCGTTAACTTCGAGGCCTTCAGTAAAATAAAGGTTAAAAAAGAGCAAGCCCCATACCAACATGGTGTTTTCAAAGGAAGTATGCCAACACAGGAAGAAAATAACACATCAATCAAAATCAAGGTCCTCTATATATTTTTAAGATCCAGAACTGAGCACACATACTTACCCCTGTCTGTTGAGGATATTTTGAGCTTGTTGCTCGATGAACAAGTCTCCAGGAGAGATGCCATATCGTGTTGTGGGCAACGAAGCTCTGCGTGCTGTCCTAGGAGAACTTGCTACAGTGACAACAGCGACACCCCTCGCTGGTTGGGCTGTTGTTGTTTCCATTGGAACCGGAGTTTCCTGTGGGCGTGGTTTCGTACTTCGGTCAGGTGCTCGTCTATAATTTTCCAAGTTCATTGCCCTCTCTCTCTCTCGCTCCGCATCAAAGCCTGATGGAGGAGGAGCAGGATTGGGGGTGGGGTCAGAAGGCATGAAGACTCGCCCTATCCCTGAACTGCTGTATTTAGACCTGCTGCTGCTTCGGTCCCACCCCGCATCCCGTTTTTGCAATGCCACGCCCCTTGTCCTGCTCTCACCACGTCCCCTGTCAGGAGGAGCCCCTTTGTCTGACAGGTCAGACTCTCTCCGTGCATGTGTGTAGCGCGGCGCGTAATCCAGATCCACCTCTTGGTCGAGGAGGATTCCGTAACGTTCTGATAATTGTCGCCGACGTTCAGCTTTGTAGCGCGCAATCCGCTCGGCTTTAGAGCTGAGGCTGGCTGCATCAGAACCGGCTGGGGTAGGACCGACTGGCTCAGGGTGGGTGGACAACTGTGGATCTGGACATGTCCGAGCTCTGGATTGCCGCTCTGGAGCTTCTATCTCATCACGGTTGTAGCGCCGCACTGTAACATAACAAATAGAGAGTGAGTAGGAGACCAAGAAAATTCTAAAATTTTGTGGGCTCAAGATATGACCTGAGCCCCTTGTTCAATGCAAGTCTACGGGATTATTTTCCAGCTGTTTTGTCCACCAGATGTCAGATTACTAATAAAAGTAATACCACACCTCTTTTCCTACGTACCAAAGTATAAAGGGGTCATGAACTGCCTTTTTTATCATTTTGTACTGTTCTCTGAGGTGCACTTATAATGTTATCTATATAATGTTATTTTTTACATCAAAATACATCATAATTTAGAAGTAATATCCTATTTTCTGTCCTGTTTTTAACCCCCTCATCTGAACGCTCTGTTTGAATAGGCGTGACGGATTGTAGACTCGGAAGTAAACACCCACTGGCATGATTGGCTAACATTTGTGTATATTTGACAGCGTACATTCCTCATAGATGGACACCGCTGTGATTTAGGTTAAAAACACAAATTCTCAGTACATATCAAACTATCTGTAATAACAGACAAAGCAATAGTGACTATGTAAAAACGGTTACTCACACTTGTGTGGTGTGACGTTACTGTCGGATCCAATATATTCAGCGCAGCATCATCTTTTAGTTTCAATCTTTCTAAAAATCCTGCATCGAATTTGGACCTTGTTTGTAAATGAATCCATGGGAAAATGAAGTGAACAGAGGACCAAGTTCTTACTGATGCGATCTGGAAATTCATAAAAAATAAACTGCATCCACTCTTTCCTAACGTTGGGACCAGAAGGAAGGCAATGGAAAGACTATTTTTCCACAACCTGGCACTGCACAGCATCTTGTTGACTTCCAAGCCATTTCTAATTTCTGTACAGACCTGCGTTATTTACCCACTACATGTGTAAATGGGTGGGCGGGGCTAAACAGGCAGTGATGTAGAAGCAGGTGTTGATCTTCTTCTGCGGAGGCGGCGTTTAGCAACACTGGCACATTCCACAATCTGTTGTTTTGGCAGATTGGCTTCAATATAAGCTGTTTTTAGACTAACAAGAAAGTTTTGAGTTCTGAAACTTACAGGATCTTTTTATAGTACAATGACCTCTTATATGTCAAAAGATCAAGGGAATTTTGATTTCTCAGTTCATGACCCCTTTAAGGAGATTTTGTTATTGAAATAATAGTATAACAAATAGCAATCATAATAGTGACTCTTGCCTTAGCTGTGCACTGTACAATATATTGTCTGCTTATGTAACCGGTATGGAAAGTAATATGGCCATTTCATATGTAGAATTACACAAAAATGTTCACGATGTATACCTGATATGCCTGTCTGTGTGTGTGCACCTTCCGCTTTAAATTTCTGACAGCAGCGTTAATCTTAATTTCCTGTCTTTGCACCTCCTCTTCCCTTTCTGCACTGTCTGTGTGTGGGAGAGGTGGGTTTCTAATGAGCTCTGATTAATATAATTTCATCTTTGCTTTAAAAATCACTTTTATACTTGGTTTTTCTGTTTAAATCATATTTATAACTATTTTTCATGTAGGTTTAATTATTTTCATGTTTTCATTATAATTGAGGTTGTTGTTTTTGATGTCTCATCGATGCACGTGCTAATTGCGTTGCACGTTACATTCATTTAATTGAAAAGACAAGAAGGGTAAAAACACACTGTAAAGACTGTTTTATGTTTTATCAGGTATGCTGTTTTGTCACTCATTGTTAAATTAATTTTGTATGAAAGTTTTATACCATTTTCTCTGCACTGTCTGTGCATGGGAGAGAAAAGACAAAAGGGCGAATTCACACCATGTTAAAGGGGTCATATGATGCGATTTCAATTATTCCTTTCTCTTTGGAGTGTTACAAGCTCTTGGTGCATAAAGAAGATCTGTAAAGTTGCAAAGACTAAAGTCTCAAATCCAAAGAGATAATGTTCTTTTTAGCAGCATCATATGACCCCTTGAAGAACTGTTATCTTTTATCAGTAAATGAAGAGTCGAACCGTCAGCTGATGTCCGACTGGTTACTCATTGGGAAAAAAAAAAAACCCAGACAACACCGGTTACACTTACAGAAATAAACTGTGGTGTGACCTACCCACAATGCCTGGATCGCTGGGATCTGAAGCACGTGTATAGCGTGGTGTGTCCTCCTCCAGTAGTCGGTTGGTCACCAGGCCGGCTGTGTGTTGCATGCTTGTAGTAAGAGCAGGTGGAACATCAGCCTCAATCCCCTCCAACCTTCGTGCAATTCTCTCTTTCCTGCATGATAGGAAGCCATTATATGCAGTGCTGGGGTAATTCGACATTGTGGAAGACAGAAATTCTAACCGTGACAGTGCTTTTTGTAAAGTAATGATGTAACATAAGTTACTTATAAATGTAGCATTTCATTTTCAAATGTAACATTTCTCAACACTGACTATATGCGTTTTCAGTCATTTTACATCAACTTTTATGCATTTTGAATGCATTTTTACATTGCATTCAGAGTATACATTTTAACAGTTTATCCATTCCATGGGAATCTAACCCATGACCTTCACATTGCTAGTGCAATGTTCAACTGTTTGAGCTTTAGGAATGCCATGTTAATGTTAATATGCATAGAAGACTTTTGCGAGACCAAATGTACCTGTTCATTTCTGGACCACTTTTGATAGAGGTTTCAAATTGCTTCCTTAGCTCTGAAACTAAAAGACAAGCGTTTTGGTAAATATCCAACTTCTTTAAGGAAAATATCATTATTATTGTCCTTCAACTTTTTAATCACAATGTTATCTTAGCATTTCTCACCTTTGGGCAGTACAGCTAGGATGTTTGCATCAATTTCTGTTGTACTCTTAACCAGTGATGTCCTGTCATCCACACCAAAGCTGTAAGGCAGAGATAGAGAGTTCATGATTCAAAACAATAGAGCTTTAGTAAATGTGTTAATGTCAGTAGACATAAAATGTTTAATTTAAATTTGGTCTTCCTGGCACTTATTGAAAGGAGACTGGAATTTCAGTAAGTGTAACCCTAACCCTAAAATCTGATTGATTAATAGCCATGTTGTTCTAGGATCAACAAGGATGTTGACCCAGGAACATGTCCTACTTGGCATAACACAGTATACGCGCTAGCTGCTTGGCCACACTGATCCATTATGTTGACTTTTCCAACACCTAATCTCTGCACACCTTAGAAAAATCGGATTTGGCACCGAGTGCCTCCAAAATTCTACACTGGCAGGTCAAGAGCAACCTTACCAATGTTCCTGTGTGACATATTAAGCTAAATTAGCATTGAAAGTCTTGAATGTTTACTTGAATCTCACCACAGGAATAGATTAGCTGCTAAGGTATTTATACATCTAGAGTTCCCCTTAACCATGGTACCAGTCCTGCCAGCCCAAACAGCACATTCCAATTACTCCTGTTTACAGCACACCCTTCACTACACATGCTGCTATGCACAACGGTCTCATAAGCAGGGCAGCAGAACTCTAATGAGAGCTTAAACAAGTTTAGATTGCATTCACAGAAACTTTTTCAGACACGCCCGATATGGAAATGATGTAAGGAGGAATAATTGACTCTGTACAATTGAATTATTGAACATTAATGCATACCAAAAGTTAAACCGCCATTACATCCTTGTTGTGCTTTCAATTTTTAATAATTTATAATAATAGTAAAGAGTCCAGGTCAATTATTCCACAGTATATATTTCCTTACACCACTGATTGAGCTAGAAACCAGCCAAGGTTAACTAGTCTCTATATCTACTCGTTTTCTTTTTATTTATTATAAAAAATGACCCTAACACTAGCGTTCTCTATTCTTTTTCTATTCTTTCGACTTGTTTTCTTTTTTATTCATTTAAAAAAAAAAATGTTGTCCCTCTATTACTATTATTTTCTATTCAATCTACCTGTTTTTTTATTATAAAATAAAAATAAAAAACCTTGTGTAGGGACTCCTAAAATATACCTTGTGTTTCATATGCTTTGTGTCAGAAATAATACAAAGTATTCAAATGTATTTTATTTTTCTTTATTTCGAAATATGATGCAACAATTATGTTTTGCTTGTATCCAATGAGAAAGTGTGTTCAATACAGGTGTACTATTGTAAGCCAGTGACTGTTGAGCTTGACGTTGTGTCATAACGTGAGTCACGTAATGAGGAAGGAGAAGGTATCGCACATGGCGAGAGAGTGCTGCCAGCAAGATCTGCTGTCTCTACGAAAAAGTGCGTCATCCTTTTGGAGACTACTGTATTCGTTGTAATATAAGGCCCAAAGTGTAGAGTGACGACACTTGTTTTATTTTCTGTTCTTATTTAAAGTGCATCTTATTCTTTTGTTTTGTTTTTCGTGATCCTGTGAGTCATCACTTAGTTAAACCGTGTGTGATGATGGCTTAGCGGCAATAGAGACAATTGCCTTTATGAACAAAAACGGTGTTTATGAAGCTATCAGACATTTTGTGGTGGACTTCGGAATCGCATGTGAAACCGGACTGATTGTGTGTTTCATCATTGGAAGTGGATCAACTGGATTCATCTCATGTTCAAGACAGCTCGTGAGGGGACGCTGAGTGTTCGTGCCGTGAGGGACGAAATATTGTTTCACTGCCATCGGATGAACGTAAGTGAAATAATTTTCGTGCGGGATTACTTTTAATTCATCATCTGATTAATGTGCACCAACGAACTGGGCCCCAACGATAACGATCGATCGTACATTTGAACTGTTTGACTGACTTAACGTATATTTGAACTGTTTGACTGACTTACGTATATTTGAACTGATCGTAAGATATGTAACTAATGTGCATACAGTACTGAAAGACAGTGTATGATGTGAACTGCAAGTTTTCTCAACTGTTTAACTGATCTTGAAAGATATATTTTTGTTTTTCATTAGCCTATTGTATTACGTTGTTCTGGAGGAAACGGAGTGTTTTGAGAATAGGGTTCTAAATTGACGTTATACATATCTTGACTGAGTTATAGTATTCTAAAAAAAGAACAAAGCTAAGGCTAAGAGAGTGTAATACGTGTGAGAACAAGAACCGTTCTGAGACTACAAAAGAGGTTTATATTTTTTATTTAAAAGAAAAGAAGCAACTTGCATATCGTAAGGGATAATTGTTTATCCGCTTTCTTTAAAAACAAAAGGGTTGTTACTCGTTTCTTCATTTACTGTTTTCTTTTAAAAAAAAAAGGGAGTTATTACATTAATGTACAAATAAATCTTGGTTATTCTTTTTCTCTTTAACATTTGCACTTTGGTATTTCATTGAGTCTGGCAAGTTAATTCATTTAAGAAGTTACTGAATTCTTGGGAATTGCAAATAAGAATTGTTTAATTGATCTTTAGTAAATAGAGAAAAATTGGTACAGGAGGAAAATTCATTTTACAATTGATTTTGTAAATACAAAAAAAAGAGAAATACCGGCCTAATTCACCATCCAACTGCCGGGAATCCAGGATTCATGTTAGAGAAATAATTAAATTAACCCCTAGGGTTAAGGAAAGGGTTACACTTGCTACGTGTACTGTGTTAGACTAACCAAGACTTGTCACAGAACTTACATATTATTACTCTTTTGTTGGTTTTGATTGCTTCTATTGTCCTCATTTGTAAGTCGCTTTGGATAAAAGCATCTGCTAAATGACTAAATATGAATTTAAATGCAAATATAGTTTAAAAGTGTCCAGAAACAATATGGTGAAGGGATGTTACTGTAATATTGTCAACAAACCTCACACTACTTCAATAAAACCCTTGTAACGTACCAACCAATCAGAATCTAATTAATTTTAAATAAAATTGAACATAATTCTTATATTTTTCTGCTACTGTAAATAAACATACAAATTCTGACTAGATTTTTTAAACACTGGTTGAAATGTGTTTACATGACTAAAATATGTTTTTGTTCTATATTGTGGACTCCAGGAGGACTGATGTTTTGATTTATTTTGTACACATTAAAATGTCAAAAGCACATTCTTCTCTTTTAACAGCTTAACCAATGGAAACAACAAAAGATAACACACATACACCCACACATACACACTCTGGGTCTGTGATGATAACAGCCAAATACACCTCCCCTTCTCTTAGAGCAAAGTCTTTTTCATTGGCCAGGACTATTGATTCTTAAATCACAATTACTGACCAAAGTAAACAAAATGTCTACCCTTTAATTTATCCCAAAACGTGCATGACGCAACACACAATCAGTGTCCTGAAGTCCATAGAGCAACACAGTATCTAAGGATTTTCAATAGCATCTTATCAACCGCATTTAGTGCTAAGTATTAAAGAACATAAAGGGATTAATTCAGTATTTAATTTAGCTAATGGGATCAGCTTTAAAACAAAGAAAAAAGTTGGGTCAAAACAAAATAGCCTTTAAAATTGCGAGATGAATGGATTCTGACCTTACTGCTCTTTTCTTTAGTAGTGCAGGGCTGTAGAGCTTAGCAGAAGCTTCACCGACATAGCCTGTGAAAAGAAACAACACAAAAATCTTAGGTGTCTTTCACAACACAATTCCGCAAATCTATCCAAAAGACATAAAAAATAAAATGGACCATAAAGGCCTGTTCACAACAAGAAGTATTACTACAACAATACTTACTGTATAAAGTTTTAAATATCGTTCTAATTGCTTAATAAGGAAAGTTCACAACACTGATAATGACACTGTAATTAAACAATATTGCAACCACTTTCATAACAATCAGAATCCACCCAAGTTTAAAGAGCTTGAGCACTTAAAGCAGCAGACAATAAAATTGTAACACGCGCTTATAATAAACATAACATTATTGTCCATCGGCGCAATTTCGTTCTTGGTGTGCATGGGCCTTAACAGCACAAACTGAATTTGGCAGCTCAACTTGAATAATTCTGTGCACTTAAAAGTAATTTCATGTTGCTTACAGTGACGTTAAGCAACCCAAGTTCAGGAAAAATACAAATTGATCTTAGACAAATTTAAATGGAATATTTCTCCAGAAATATGCAACCTGTTGCCAACAATGACAAAATATTTAAACACATTCCATCTTGACTTCATGTTTCGTCCATTTAAACTAGGGCTGCACGATAAATCGCATGCGATATTTAACGCGCATCTTGTCAGAAAGCCGGTTCTGTAATCAGCGGTAAATCTCCATCACCTGCGGGCTTTCACATTGAGCAGCATTAACTACACAGAGCCGTTGTTCACTGACGAGCTGCGCAAAAAATCGCTGATTACAGAACCGGCTTTACTGATAAGATGCGCGTTAAATATCGCATGCGATTTATCGTGCAGCCCTAATTTAAACCCATCATATTGTACAGACAACAGCTTGAGTTACTGTGTTTAACATCCTCCAGTGTGGGTTGCCTGATAAATATACCCCCTCCAAAGGAGCACCTGGGCTGGGAAGGGACCGCTTTAAGAACAAGCTAAGAAGAACAACGTCAACGTGGGTGTGAACTGTGAAGACATCCTAATTAACTTAAATCAAGTCTGGTGGACGAGTTTCCGTCCCAGGGTTGCTAGAGAATCACGTCAGGAAGCTGACAGCCACAAATTAGCGCGAGGAGACGAGAAGAACAAGGCATTGTCTAAAAATACTATTTGGGGAGATCAGGGTAAAAAACAGACCCTGCTCAAGGGTCCACGCTACTTAAAACACATGTAGTTCATCTCACAGAAAGACAGACGTCCAGTAAACCACTTTCACACAAGGTTTGTGTGAAGGATTTTATGATCTGTTGTGTAGACAGCAAAACAGCAATTATCACGTCCTGCCATTAGCACGTTAACACAGTGTTGACACACAGAGTCTGGGGTCATTTCATGATGAACTGACAGTACAATCAGTGTGACAGCTGCAGGCACTAGAGATTCAACATCAAATCAGTTGCGACTGTGAAACTTTGGCAGCTGGAATGGAGAGATAAGGCTTAACTAGAGGTCACAAAATTTGCTAAAGACTATTACTGTTCCACTTCAATGAGACCTGATTTAAGTTTAGTGACTGACCGATAAGTTTTTCAATGGCTGCTGTTGATGCTGCTACTATCTGATGAGCAAGATGTCAAAGACTCTTATGCTCACCGAGGCTGCATTTATTTGAAAAAAAAAAAAACTGTAAAAATAGTAAGTAATATTGTAAAATATTATTACAATTTAAAATGACTTTTCTGTTTTCACATGTTTTATAGGCCTAATTTATTCCTGTGATGGCAGAGATGAATTTTCAGAATCTTTACTCCAGTCTTCAGGGTCACATGATCCTTCAGAAATCATTATATGATAATTTGCTGCTCAAGAAACATTTATTAGGAACATTTAAACATTGTCAATGTTATAAACAGTTGTGCTACTAAATGTTTTTGTGGAAATGGTGATATATTTTGTGCAGGAATCAATAATGGAATAGAATGAACAAAAGAATAGCATTTATTTTAAACAGAATGCATTAATGCAACCCTGCTTGCATATGAATACGTGCAATTATATGTGTAATCATTCATATTCTGTTTAATTGTGCTTGTCCACAATTAACCTTTTGATGAACAATCGTTAAAAAGTCAACAATGCATGAGTTAAATGTTGATTTGAAAAAAGAAAAATAAATGTTAAAATATTTCCCTCAATGCTTGATGTCGATACCGTTTTTGCGATAACAGGGTGGCTGACAGCCAGTACAACTATATATTTGTATACAAAATAATGATATCATATAAATATTACACATTTCTGAATTTAACTGAACATTTACTTTACACATTATTTCCTCATTTCTCAAAAAAAAAAAAAAAAAAAAATAAAAATAAAAAAAATGTAGTGATGCTAAAATTGTGCAAAACATATGCACAAACAATCATTACTAAAGAAAAAAAAATCCCACATTTAAAAAGTCAAGATGATTTATGAGAGCTGACAGGTCTGCTTCAGCTAGAATGCACTTTTATACATGATGTTCGAAAATAGATTACAATGTTGTTGTTGTTGTTTTTTATTGGAGGAAAAAAAAACATGAAAAATATGTTCTATGTAAATGTATTTAAATGTAAATATCACTGAATGCCATTGTGAAAAGTAACAACAGTACTGTAGTCTTCAAGTAACAAAAAAAGATAATAAAATGAAAACTGAGGAGAAGATTATATATAATCCCACATCGAAATCCACTGGATATAACTGGAAGACACTGGATTGACTGAAGCAGAGTAAACCCTGCCACAGTACGATATCGGATGTGTTGCTCTTAATAATAATAATAATGCATATTTTGTATCCACAAATCTCAATTGACAAGGAGACATTGATATTGTCTACAGATTTTCTGAACTGACTCAGAATCACCACTTAGATTCATTTGACAACAGTCATCAGCTGATACAGACAATCTCAAAATGGTCAAATTAGTCTAGGAGGACTATCACTGATCACTTCTGAAGTTCACAGCAACCTTTAGCACCACAAGGATTCAGACTTCTTCAGGTCAATTAATCAATCTTCATGCTCTTCAATCAATCTTCAACAGAACAAGAGTTACTTCTGGTTTGTATGACTATTTAAAAATATTTTTTTTCACACAATATTAAATTGATTTAAACAAAGCCATCAAACAACTTCATGTTCCTTTACATTAAAATAACTATTCAATCAATGACCCGGCAACCACTTTTACTCAAATCCCCATAAATCAACCTCACTGTCTGGTAACAGTAACCAGGCACAGAGAGTTCAAGACTTACCTTGACTACACTGAGTGACGTGGTTGAGATAGTTAGTAATCCACGGGTTATGGAACATGTTGGAATGAAAAGGAAAGTAGAAAACGGAGAAAAGAGAGGAAAAGGACAGACAGACCTAATCACAGGCTCAGACAGACGAAGAAAGAGAGCGAGAGAGAGAGGGATCGCCACGGACGGACTCAACGTGATGGAAATGCACCGAGGCAAAACTGGAGGGCTAAAGCAAACACATGGGAGGGTGGTAGAGAGAGAGAGAGAGAGGTGCTAAGGCAGCTCACAGGCAGTAATCTGATTACAGGCAGAAATTAGCCTGGATGATAAAAGTGGATTGTGGGAGCACGGTGGATTCCTGGACTTATGACATGAGGTCTCCTACATTTACACACACTCACACACACACGCGTCAGCTATCCTGGAGTCACAAATACTCGGTGATGCAAAGATGAAAGTCTTTAATTAGGTCTGACATGCCTTTAACATCTTTTACTGAAAAAAAAAGCCAAATAAATGTGAATCTTTGTTAAAGCTGTTATTAAGAAAATTGTGTCTTCTTATAATGCACACTAAAGGACTGCTAAACAACATAAAAGCTATCTTCCATGTTCATTTTGAGTTTTTATGCTAACCGCTATGAGCACAGAGTTCTGGGTTCTACTTCTGCTGTGTTGCCAAAGAGGTTAAGGTTTAGCTGGTTAGCACTGAACAGTTAGCCCCATGCTGGTCTACTGTAATTACATATGGCATATTACATGCATTACAATACTTGCTTTTTGTGATATTAAAATTAAAATCTAATCGATCAAATTGACTGGTAGTTTTAAATGGCAAAATGTTTTGAATATTTTTGAAAATTGTTGACTATAGCTTTCAAGTCACTACACTGTTGTTTGCTAACATTTCTGCCAGTGTTGTTATTGTTTACTAAAACTAAACAAATAAAAAATACTGTCATTGAAAAAGATGAAATAAAATAAAATAAAATATAAATATTAGTTTAAAAAAAAATCACTTAATTTTAGCTTGAAATTTTGCCATGGCAAAAACTAAAAATGAAAACTAAAAAAAATAAACTGCACAGAAATATTCAGAAAAAATGACAAACATAAATCAATTACAAATATTACAATTAAAAATAAAACACATATATATATATATATATATATATATATATATATATATATACTGTATATATTTTACAGTATATATTTTACTGTATATTATTGATCCCCCCCCCCCCCACACACACACACACACACACACACCTTTTCATTCCCCATTTTATCCTTTTTAATACTGAAAATGTTATAAAGTTATATTTCAAGATGACCTATAATATATATATATAAACTGTAAACCATCAAACAGACACTAGACTTGATTTGACTCAGTGTCTCATTTGTTCTAACTAGACACAGCTCCACTCTGCTGAGCAACCCATCCCCTCCTCTCAGCAAAGACAAATCAATCAGAAGGG